TGAAGAAAAGTCAAATGGAAGACAGGCTGTGAAAGAGCGAGAGAAATCAAACCGCCATGATGAAACGACTCGAGCGAAGCAGAGTAGAGACACGCGGCATAGCACCGTTACAGAAACACCCCCTGATTCTGGTTCAATGACGAGAGGTGGGAAGCTTGTCGGTAGCGCGAGGATGCGAAGCTATCAATATTCGATCTCTCCAAAGTCGAGCAAAAGCAGCGAATCCGAAATCATAAAGACTCCTGACGAACATTTGACGGAATCGATGCAAGCCTTACCGACTCGCTCCCATTCAAGGAGCTCGTCTAGAAGAGGTTCAACCCCAAATGGGAATAATACACATGCTTCAAATGACTGTGATAGTTCGGTTAGTGATCAGGGTTTGACGGTCCAAAGCGGGATGATGCCCAGTCTTGGAACTTCCTATGCCGTGAATAGTACAGCTGATGCCGCACAAAGTGAGCTTTCCTTCGGCGAGCATGCAAGCGAAACGCACGATGCTTCTATGAGTGACTCTGTTCAGAGTTCTGATGGATTTGGAAGAAATGATGCTAACTCTGTCGCAGAAGAGCATGCGAACACCATCTCTCGAAATGAAATTATTTCTCGTCACATGGAATCAACGAAAAAGCCAAGAGCAAAGACGCCCCCAGGCGAAATCGATGAGACGCAGGTTGGCCATCCGAAAAAGACAAGGGCGAAAATGCTTCCCAGTGAATACGGACCCACAGGGACAGTGCCAAGGCCTCGAGCCAAGACGCCTCCTGTGGACTATGATGAGCAAGAAACGTCAACAATCATCTCCGAGGGCAGTGAAGAGGTGGTGCATGGAAGGTTCACGCCTTCTAGTGAGAACAGACACTCAGAAACAGTAACAAAACCCAGGGCTGAGACACCCCCAGTCGACTATGATGAAGATAAAGCAAGAACTTCTGATAACGGCGAAGAGCCAGTTGAACATGAACATCTCTCAGCGAACAGATGTGATTCACCAGCAACTGATGCATGGACAAATGGCAGTGCAAACGGGCACGAATTCGACGAAAACTATGGCAGCGTGAAAGACGACGAAAGTGAGGCCTCGTCTCACTGGGTGAACCACGTATCGAAACGAGCTGGGATACACACTGTGTCAGAACAGCCGGATTCATGGAGCGACAACGTTAGCGATGAAGAAATGACGCTGAACGACAGCCTCGAAGATGGAAATCCTCCTCATCAGCGAAATGCTTTCAATAGTAGCTCACACGACGTTGCTCGTCAACAAAAAGGGGAGTCTAAACGTGTTCATTCGAATGGTTTCGATCACTCAGATGATGAAAATGGCGAGGATATTTATGGCGCGATAGCTTCTCCTTCACCGGCTGTGCTACCACTTATTCCGCGTGCCTCTAGTTTGCGAAGAGACCCCCGAGCTGATGGGACTGACACTTCGCATCAAGCACATCCGATTACCCAACCCGTCACGCACTTCGTCGAAGTCACAAGCATCGAAGACGGCCAACGGCGCATCACTTACGTCGAAAACGGTGTCACTGTGGAACCTGTGATACCGTCACGTAAAAATAGAGGCACGTTCACCAAAAACTCTCGTCGCGTTCGGCAACCAGAGGTGATTCAAGAAGCGGATGAAGAGTCTGAAGACGCAACATGCAGCGAGAAGACCCGTGGTGATGGAAGCAACGGAGAGAATCGGACACTCCCTTCAAAGTCACGGGCTGTAAAACATTCACCGGTGAGTTCGCCAAAGCCACGTGCGCCCTCTCCGGATGTCGAAGTAACAGACGTGGACAAACCTAGTGACAATAGAAAGTGTGAAGAAGATCCAACACTCCCTCCAAAGTCTTCGGCTGCAAGACAGTCACCAGTGAGCTCGGGCAAACCACGTGCATCCTCGCCGGCTACAGAAGAAGTGGTTACGGATGAAGCCTGTGACAGTGAAAAGAGTGGAAAAGAGCCGACTCTCCCTCCAAAGTCATCAGCTAGAAGACAGTCACCAGTGTATTCGGGAAAGCCACGTGCACCCTCTCCCTCTGAAGAAGAATTGGATACCGAAAAAATCCAGGACAATGTAGAGCTAGAAGATCTTACCTTGTATTCCCAGTCACCGGTTAGAAGGCAGTCGCCAGTAGGGTCGGCAAAGCCACGTGCTCCCTCCCCTGCACCTTCGGACCCTCGAACAGAGAATGAATACACAACTGAGGAGGAAAATGACACAAAATCCACTGACGAGGCAGCGAACGAGCCGGACCCCAAAGATGTATCAGAGCACAGGTCATACTCGTCGTCCTTGCACCGCCTGGGTTCCGGTGAAGCCAAGGTTGCTGATGAAAAAGGACCAGAGATTGAGGTGGGCTTGGACCAGGAAGAACCACAAGAAACAAACTCGAACCAGTCCTTTGTACGGAAGTCACCATCACCCTCTACGTTGTCCGCAGAAGATTCACATCCTGATACTACGAGCCTAAAACGTCTAAAAGAAGACACAATGACATCTGCTTTTGACGAGGGCATCTCTTCTACTTCTTCTCCACAGCAAAGTCGTGCTTCTTCTCCCCAGAAAAGTGGTGCTCGAAGTCCAAATGCCGAACGGACTGACTCCTCTGGCTCTGCTGTTGTGGAAGAAAATACATCGCCAGCTTCCGCTTCCCCCTCTCCTCGTCTCTCCTCCCCTCCCATGCCTTCTCCTCCTCGCTCTTCTCTTTCTCCAATGGATAATATTTCTGCCGACAGTCTCACCCTCAAGAAGAGCCCTGCATCTGGACGGTCATCTTCGCTGTCTGGTTTGCATGTCGAACAGCACGATTCTGTTGTCGAACCAACCTCAAAGCATGCCAGAGAAGAACCAAATGTTGTGCCGTATAGCCCTCTGCCCGGCCCAAGCACCGGTGCAGTGCCAAAGCAGCGACAGTGGAGAGGATCCCAGGTTGTGAAGTTCCCGAAGGATCGCAGCCGAGGACGTGCGACAGGTAGGGCTTACTCTGAGCAGCTGAGGTTCTTCGGAGATAGCTCGGATTACGAACCCGTCGTCATGCGTTCGAGCTCCGGAACACTTGTTTCGTCATCTTCACAGACGGCGAATAATGTTGCTGGTGGTGAAGTAACATCTTCTGTGGTGTCTTCCCGGCTTCTTGCCCCGGCTTCGGATGCTCCGTCGAAGGACCGAAGGAGATCGGATGGTTCGCTCCCTCCGCCAAGTCCTGCGATGCCTGCTGTTGGTGAAGTAGAGACGGGAACCCACAACAGTCGTCCCGTTTCCTCCCCACCTATTGTACACGGGACCGTCCCTGCCGATAGCCCTTCCATGTCCACCCCTCCCCCTGCTCCAAGTCTTGTTCCTACGGCATCACCATCAGAGCGACAAGAACAAGGTCCTCAAAATCGGCTTCTTCCACCATCGGAGTCTCCCCAGCCACTGAAAGCGAAGGCCGTGGACAGGGGCACTAATACGCCGACCGAGATGTCGCCTCAAAGGATGCACCAGATGCAGCAAACACCTCCGCCTGAGGACGATATGGATGCAACGACTCCGGGAGAACATCATGAACCCATTTACGGGGTGTTGCCAATGTCTGCTGCTCACTCAGCAGCTACTGCTACCGCTACCATCGCTGCTGCGGCTGCTGCGGCAGCCACTGCTGTTGGTGCTACCCCTGTCATAGCCGCCGCTGCTGCCACAGCTGCTGCCGTCGCCGCCACGGCCACATCTCCTACCCCAGCGTCAGCTCAAAAGACGCCAAGTCCTTCTCTGGCAGCAGAAGTACAAGAAGCAACCAGGCCTAGGATAGATGCGGAAATTCCACTGGGTAGCGTAGCACTCAAGCAGGCGCTCTACGAATCAATCAGTGAGGAGCGAGCATCCCGACGAACCTCAGAGCTTCCCGCTCCTCTACCTGGCATGGTGCCTGCTAAATGGGCCCGTCTACCCGCTACCGAAAACGGTACTACGAACACAGCGACAGTTGACACTCCAAGTCAAGCAAATGGCGAGGATGAGACGGTGAAGACACAGGACACTGAAGCACAGGAGGCTGCAGAAGAGGAACAGAACGTTGAAGAACGGCCGCGTCGGGAGAGGGTGTTCCGGATCAGACGCTCGGCTTTGGAGGCGCTGAGATATCGGATTCCTCAGCTGAGAGATATCGTGAGGACGCGGTTCAGGAGCAATGAGGTGAGATGGGGCAAATGGAAGGAAGTGGATGACAAAAAGTTAGCATTCCATTTGCGGTTATGACAATGTGTGATTTTTGGCGCACCGGCAATCGCATTATTGCACTTAAGAGCCAATAACGACAGAAGAAAATTGTCCTCTGAACCTAACCTGAAGCGTTATTGAATGTCTTACTTAATTAAAAAAAAAACATTTAGGTAATACGGCTTTCGAGTGAACCCTTCCTCGCGGGAAACTCCCGCAAAACGAAATCAAGTCAGGTCTTAAAACATAAAAATTGCCATAGTGGGTATATGTTTACATATTGTTCCTCCTCGCCAGTCTGACCGTTTCAGTTACCTATACCGAGCTGTATTAACTTCTCCATTTCAGCGCTTGTGGCGAACCCTGTGCCATGTGTTTTACGCTTATTATCATTTTTTTTACTGACCGTCTTTGCGCGAATTTTACACGATGTTGATTACGTTATGATTCTACTCTTCCATCCCACCAGTCGGTGCAGCCACCGGTGGTCTGCTCGCGACCCCCTGCCTCCAACCGGAGAGTTCCGTTCCGTAGAAGGTCACGGGTTAGCCAGTGACCCGTATCTGACCTCGTGAGCAATAGAAAAAGACTTGTCACGAGTCAACCGGCTCACACCATTGCGCTAACGGTACGAGCAGTTTGTCAATACCCCTGCAAAAGTGCATGGTAGTGTGCAAGGCCTTTCAGTGCACCGTATCATCGAGTCGATGTGTTTTATGGAATCTATACTATCCCAGTGTTGTTTTCTTCCAGTCCAAGTGATTCTATGAGACAGTGAGCTAATTTGATACTATTTCATTTCCAGATTTCCATCACCAACGGCAGCAACCCGGTGCTGGCGGCGGCGGCGGGGTCTCCAGTACCGACTGACGCCTGGTCCACCCGACCCCCGGACGACCCGCGTTTGGAGGTCGAATCGGACAGTGATCTTTCCACACACAGCCCCGCCGGCGGTGACGCGTCCAATGAGGGGCTGGCCGCGGGGCATAAACCGACACAGGATGATGGGAAGCATTCGCTGCTGCAGTACGCCATGCTGCACTTCCGGGATGCCGAGGAAAAGTGAGTTTTATTTTTACTTTTATTCAGATCGGTGCAGAGTGACCGCTTTTAGCGACATATAAAAATCAGTGGTGAACATGAAACAAATACATATAAAAATCAGTGCAGAATAATGAAATAAATGCATAGGAAATAGCGCTCGCTCATAGTATTTGTATTAAGCGCCCGTAGTAAGCGGTATTTGTCCCAAATGCTGCTTGTTTCGTTACATATTATTAGCCAGAATGCCCCAGCATCGGTGGATGCCCCTTGAATATGCGGCTGAAGCAATAATGGTCAGTAAATAATGCAGCTACGGGTAATAACCACTCACTTATGTGATGTCTAATTGGGATGTAAAACACGGTAAATGGCCTTAATTAAAGTGAACGGTCATAATTTGACCGTATGGATGAATAAGGACTACTTATGACCGCATTATTGTTATAATTTCCTAGTTGTCATACCTTTTTTTGTCGGAAATTATCGCAGAGATGATCGCAAGAATGAAATATCTGCGAGAAGACTATTCCTACCGGTCAAAACTAGCTTTACTGAACACTTTTAAACACCTGCGTCTTCTCAGATATAACATGCTACGTGAAGAGGGCGGTGCCACCGGCTCCATCAAATTCGAGAAGAAAAAGGGCAAGAAAAAGGGCAAAGAAGACTGGACGTGGCGGGAACAGGTCAGTGACCTTCTGAGTCGTGAAAATGATAATTGAAGTACTTTAGCAGCTCACTACGGGTGCAATGTAAACGGCACTGTACTAAGTTGATATTTTATCATTGGCAGCATTGAATGCAAACAACAGAGCTCTTGTTTCGGCCAATTTACATTGAATTCACAGATGTTGACCACCATGGCACGAATTTTACCTAATCAACATAACGTATCACATATGGGGAGCTCGTTCGGCCTATGTACTATTTGCATTCAACCATCCTTTAGTTTAGCTGTTGAAATTATGAAAGACCGATAGCACAATGCACATTGCGCATATACCTAGGTATGCGCAACTCTCAACATCACGAGGCATTTGGGCGTTTTTTAATGTTTCTTTTATCTGTGTCGATATTAATTGTTATCATCTGTGATGTTTCCCCAACAGGTGGAGATGGTCAAGTGGTCCGACCAGCCACTCCAGGCCTCTCTGCTGAAACTGGAGTCGGCAGAGAGAGCGGGATCGCACGGGAAGGCAGAGTCAGGGGAGCTGAACCGACAGGCCCTCGACTGTTTCCTGTCGATACAGCGGTACATGGGAGACCAGCCCATGGCCAAGGATATGGCAGAGGTGGACTGCGTCTACACGATTTTGATGGTGAGTGTGGGCTCTTCCCGATTCTAGTTGGGGAAGGAAGCCAATTGCTCAGGTTGGGGGATTCACATTATTCAGAGAAAGACTGGTGTTACTTTACGTTTCTAATTGTCATCTTCTGTATACCTACACCATGTTATTAAAAAGTAGACGCTTAATACGGTCCATATTACTTAGCGCCCCTGGCTAATGTCCGCAAGCTTTATATCACGGTGCTTTGAAAACGAGCGCTGAAGAAGTTGTTAAGAGGAAATTGGTCCGCTTATCCAAGCATTTGTTTTGATTTCACATCTTGCCATACTGACTCAATACGCACACCCTGATATCTTATCAGAGCTACGACGAACCCGTACCATACCTGTCTCGGTGCCAGTCAAACCATATCCTAACTATTCGTATTTCCCAGCTCTCTCCCAAGCAAACACTAGAAGCCCTGTCTGGCTGCCTTTAAACCTGTCGTGCCGGGGTTTTTACAAACAAAAACGTGACAACGACAACCGGTTCGGTGGGGAAAGCTTATGATAATGCGATCCATTGGAGTTGTATAAAAAGGTGATCAGGGCTCGGTGCAAGTGGGTTAGTAGCGTTAATGGAATCCGTGGTCATTGACCAGCGACCACTTTATCTAACGTTCACAGAGCTGGCAGTGAAGTGAGCTGAAGAAGTGAAGAAATGAAAATATCAGCTGATAGCCATTCCAACCGGATTATATCTTCAGGCCTGCCCATGCCCTGATATGTCATTGTTTGACCAGCTGTACTTTCAAAAAGTGACCCGTTCTACCCCCGCAATCCTGTGCCCTGTCCTCTACACAATAATGTTGTGTCTTTACGCTTTACACCAATAACCGTTTCCCCCCCGCGTTACACCCTCAGGCCTGCCACCGCGCCGTACCACTACGAGATGAAGTGTACTGCCAACTAATGCGACAGACTACCAGCAACAAATCCACCCATCCCGACTCATGTCAGCGAGGCTGGAGGCTGTTCAGTATCGTGGCGGCGTACTTCTCGTGTTCGGATGGACTGAGGCCGTACCTGTTCAAGTATCTGGAGACGGCTGCGTATGACAAGCGACGCGCCTATCATGGTAAGAGGGAGATCGTGCGGGGCTGCTCAGTAGCCAATGAACCATAATAGTCACAATTAGCAGCGTTGCTAAGATCTCAACATTATTTTCTGTCATGTTGTTGACGTGGTTACTGGTTAACCCGGCAGTTGCTGGGGTATTTCGTCACCCACCGTTTGCTGGGGGGGGGGGGGGGCGTTAAACGCCCCCAGCCGATAACTCGAGAACCAATAGGCGCAGCGAAACGCACGAGGCGGCAAACGAAAGAACGCGACGAGACGCTTCAGATGAGTACTTTAAAGTTGAATTTTGAGGTCACAGGTCGGGTCAAGGTCAGGTCAAACACCTGAAATCGGGCTTTCAGTAGCATGGACTTCAGGACTTCGCAATGGGCGCCTCTCGTCACAAACTCTGTCAAAATGGTGCACAATCCATCATATAAGGTCTACAAGAGTGTCAGCTCCATGTAGGGGTCAGTCAAGCATAGGTCAGGGTCAAGGTCAGGTCAACCGGGTAGGCATATATCCCCGAAAATCAAAGCTGATATTCGCAGCCTGTGACACATGTTGTATGGGCAATTTGGGGCGTAGAACACGATGGTGACATTCATTTTGTCATATGTGTACGTGTTTGGCTAAAAAAGTTCAATTTAAGAAATGCATGTATCATGGTCGTGAAGTAGTCACGAGAAATTGCCAAGGTTCAGTTTAAGATTTTGGAAAATGCGGAATGATAATCAATAATCGAAGATAGCCAATTGATTGTTCAAGGTATTGGCAGTCTAATGGCGTTTACGGCATGTCTGTATGTCTATTTTGTGATTTTATATGATTTTTTGAACATATGCCGTTTTTGGTCGAAAATTCAGAAATCATGACGTCACTAAAATCTCGATATCTCAAAAAATTTCCGACCGATTTTTTTTTGAAACTTTGTCACAATAAACTTCAATCAATTCCCTACAGGTACCCAAAATTTGGCGCGCCTGCGGCGCGCCGTTTTTATGCTATGGCCCGGCGAAAAAAGTGGGGGCGTTTAACGCCCCCCCCCCAGCAACTCGCGGGTTAAGGCTTTTTAAATGACCCGGGGACTGGATTTACCAACAGCCTAATGTTCATCTAAGGCTTGCCTGTTCTCTTCTGGCAAAGTTGAGTCCCGGTTTATGAGAGATGTTTTTGAGAACTTTATGAGACCCTCTGAATTCTTGCCTTTCTTCTTCAGGAGGAAATTCATCCCTTCATCCTGAACGGTTATGGCAACACTTGAACAACTTCTTTCATGTCAGCTGTAACTGGGCCAGTCGCACCCACCAATGATTTCTCAAGTAAACCAAACTTATCTAACGCCGCCCTCCCCCGGCAGGCACGGCCATGGTCTGCCTCCAGAACCTCCGCAAGACGTTCCGTTTCGGCGGACGAAAGAACGTCCCTAGCATTGAGGAGATCACGGCCATCACGGCCGGGAGAAACTCGAAGCGTCAGATCTACCGCCTTCCGGGAGGCACCGAGCGCGTCATCAACACGAGGAGCACCAGCGTGGTGCAGGTGATGATGGAGGGCATGCTGGATGGACTGATCAGGGCTGCGGAGTCGATGGATTTTCGGTGACTCCGACTCCGGCTTTTAAAAACCAACTCCGACTCCGACTCCGGGCAGGACGGTCGAATCCGACCTACTAAAATTCCGACTCTGACTCCGCGGACTTGGCAGGACTGCGGAGTCGATGGATTTTCGGTGACACCGACTACGACTCCGGCACCGGTTTCCAAAATCGACTCCGACTCCACAGCCCTGAACTGGATGCTGTTAGGCATAGGGGGCGCTGGACACTGCCGGACTTGAGTGAAACTGGGAGGGACACTAAAGGACTCACAAAACACTGTCGGGTACACGGGGTGCAGGAAACCGGGGTGGACACTACATGGCGCACACTGGCGCTGGGGGAAGTGCAGGACACACGGGAGGACTTTGACAAACACGCACTACGAATTTTACAGGAAACAGGTACCGTCAGACAAAGGATGTTTATTTCTGACACGGAACGCTAGGAAGTAATCAGGACACATGAATCAGGGGCAAAGTTGATTGTAAATGGAGTTTGCAATATCTGTGTCAGCTCTATTAGGACAGTCATGCTTATATTTTCGATGTTTGTTTGAACAAACCCGGTTGTCATCAAAACCAACTTGTAATGTTGCCTTCGTTATCAAAATGTTGTCACAAGATATGTTACCATTTCTGAATCAGAGTGCAATTCGTAACGACGGTGAATAAAGAAGGACAACGTTCTAACCAAACATTAAACAGATTACTTTCGATAACCAACACGTTATGCTGTTGTTTTCCGTCAGGACATCATTGAGGACATCTGTTCAGTGATCAAGATCCGCACCCGAGAGGAGATGGACGAATTCAGCTTGTACTGCATCGTCGAGGGCGACACGTTCACCATGCCGCTGGCTAGAGAGGAATACATCCTGGATGTCACTACCGAGCTGCAAAAGAACGAACAGGTGAGGGGATACTCTTATGCGTGCGTGTGTGTGTGTGTGTGTGGGGGGGGGTAAAGATGTTGCCAATCGACCGCAACATACATACAACATCGACCTCGTACGCATAAGCCAATCGACTTATGCGTACGAGGGCTGAACCGATTTCGGCAAGAGGTCCCTGGCCTTAGTGCACCCATGGGCAGTGGGCACAGCCTGGCTAGATGGTTAGCCCATGCTCCACTATACCTAACAAATAAGGACTAGGCAGTTCTACTTCTACGTACGCATAGGTTCAGTCTTGTTAATGCCGAGAAATGGATATGGTAGCACTGACTGAGTTCGACTGCAGAAAACGGCTATGAAATGCGAAATGGTTTTCACGCACGCATCGGAGTCTATCGTATATTGACGATCCCAGGAATCGTTTCGTTTACTCAGATACGCATTTGCCAGCACTGCTATAAAGGTTATCAAATAGCGTAACAGAAAGACACGCCCTTTACAAGATTGGACCATATTAGCCGTTTTCACGACGGTCTCTCCGGCGAGTGCACCTAATTTGACCAAATCTGCACCTAATCTCTTTTACAGCAAATATCTTCATTTTATGAATTTATTTCAGTGTTTTAATCGATGATACTCTCTGATAATACGACAAAGCAGGCATATAAGCAAATAGTGTAACCCTAGCTGACAGCTACTAGGAGACACACTGAACCTGATTTGACCAAATCTGCACCTGATCTGCACCAGATGTGCACCAAATGTGTACCAGACGGCCGTCGTGAAAACGGCTATTTAAAAGCTCATTGATTGACATACCGTTAGCAAGAAAGGCATTCATCTCTTTCAGGGCCCCGCATAAAAGCTTCAGATTAGGATGGGTATTTGTAGTAAAGGTACATAAGGTAAAATACTTCCAATTGAATCAAAGCCACACTCTTCTAGGTTGATTCTTCCCAGATAAGCATTGCGCCACCCTGTAATCACTTTATTTGAATCAAAGCCATGCTTTTGTAGGTTGACTCAGCCTGGCAAATCATTGTGCCAACCTTCCCGGAAAACAAACTGGCACATTGAGGCGACGCTCTTTTTAAAGATACATTGGCGCTGTGCTTGTAACCTATCATTCATATGGTATCGGCTCTCTAAACACTAGCAGGATGTGCTCTTCATTATTTGGGGTGCATATGACACGCTGCAAAACAAATTGACACAGTGAGGGGCTGTTCTAAAAGACAACAACACTGTGTTTGTAACACGGAACTATAAACACAAGACAGCTGTGTAGTGTACTGTACTCTTGGCGAGACTTTCCACACGTTTGATAGCACATAAAACACAGCAATGACACATTTTTGTCGTGCTAAATTTTCAACGAGAACACCATACCTACAAGTGTTATGCATTACAATAACGAAATAATGTGTTGTGCCGACATGGTATATGTGTACCCTGAAACAAATACACTAATACACTGTGTCATCAATCGCCGCTCAATGAATGGCGCTAACGTCATAGCGGCTCTGAATCGGAGCGTTTTATATGTACTTTGTTCTGTGTATAGCATTGGTACATTCCTTAGCTGGTTTTACTGAAGAAGCCAAGGTTTTTTAGATACACCATCTAAACCTCTGCATACTCATCGCATGACTGTTGGAAACGCTAAAACCTCTGAAACGTCTTTCTAATACCTACGCTCGCTTATTGTGGCACCAAAAACACAAAACTGTGTTTTTAGGACAAATATATTGTTTTGTGAATTGCCACCAACGTGGGTGGAAAATGTAAAATATTGTAATTTATAGGCCAAATGTAGGGTGTGGAGCCTCGTGCTCTTAGTGTTACGAGTTTTGAGTGGCCGATAGCTTAGTCCTAAAAAACTCCTCGCAGACATGAGCTCAGTTATACGAGGGCACATTGATTTCATTGGATGGACACTGGACATCCTGAAGCAATGGTCATGTCTGTGTCCATCCGGTTAACCCATTAGACGAGGGTCTGATCCTATCTCGAGCTGTGCTTTTAGAGCCACAAAGGTTGTGTGTTTTTAACTTGTGTTTGCACACTTAAAGCATGTTTTGCACTTGTGCTACACAGTTGCTTTACGTTTCATCCTTTACTTACGTTTTGTGTTAAAATCGTAACACCTTCACAGTGTGTTAAACATTTGATTAACCCCGTGAACTGAAAATGTGTTAGCACAACCTTCTTATGTCAAAGAACCGTGTTAACCTGCGCCTGGCCGATGCTGGGTGCCAACCACGCCGGGCCGGAGGGGTGTTTGAACACCACCCCCCCCCCCCCCCCCGACTAACTCGACTCCTGCGCCACGTACTGCACGCTCGACACCCCCAAGACCCTATCTGTGCTTCCTCTTCTGCCGCCATTGGTCACATTCAGCGCTTGCGCAGACGTTGTGTACGACTCCATTCTCAATGCGATACCGAAATGTTGCGGCAGTGCGGCCTCGGAGGCTCTCCGAGTCGCTCGTGGTCACCGCTCACTGGCAGTGAGACGACAACGATCGTAATTAGGTCCTGCTGTCATTACGCAGCTATGCTCTGAGTCGCGTGTGCTGGAGAAAAACAAGAGGGACTTTGAAGACTTGTGTGACGGATTGCCGTTTGCCATCGAGGCTGTCTGACGTTGCCGAAAACCCTGTCTAACTGTACAATATGGAGAGGTTCCTCAACATCCAAAGCCTCCGATGGGATCACAATGGAGATCCTATGCTAAAAGTGCGTCAACGTAATGAGGAAGCTCGTGCTCTGCTGGCTTCTCGTGGCGAACCGGAGGATGCCTCTAACTTATTTCTCGTGCTCATGAGCACACCGTACATTGCCGGGTTCCCAAAGCACAGCAGGCACGTTTCCAAGAACGAGAAGCTGCTGGAGCTGACCTTTGCTACCGAGTCTCAGCCGACACTGCCTTATCGACTACCCAAGAAGGAGAGTTCGTGTGAGTGCGCCAGTTTGGGCGACATCAAAGTGGAGAAGATCTACCTTTCCGGCAGTGTCCGGGAGGGTACACATGTGCGCGTCTGGAGCGAGATGGGCTCGGACATTGATGCAATGTTCCATCTGGATTGCACCACTGTGCTCGACACGGCTCCAGAGCAAGTAGACGCTGCTGGTTGTCAAGCATCATCAGGAAGCTGTGAGCTTCGAGTTGAACCAACGTCAAACCTGGGCTACGTACTTCTGAAGCACCCGAGAAGAGAGAGCTGCCATCATCAAGAGGAGCTCACTTTCGGAGCAGACCGTGCTGTCAACCTGCTGGACGTCTTCCGAGCACGGCTTGACGCCAGCGGAGAGCCACGGCGCGAGGGCCCCGCACTGAACACCCAGGTGCCTGATTACATGCAGCACACGAAGAACACCGACCTGGTGCCATGCCTGACAGCCACGGGCGTGTGGCCGGGCGCAGCGTTCGTCTCCCGCGCTCGCCGCTCTGGCCAGCCGTCTCCAGAGCTGGTCCTCCAGCTGTCCGAGCTACCCATCTTTCTGGTGCCTGTGGGATTTCCAGGAAGCCCCACGCAGGGGGACGAGTGGCGTGTGTCCTTCTCCAAGCACGAGTACATTCTGCTGAGGCTCATGCTGGAGTCACAGCGCGCCTGTCTGACACTGCTGAAGACGTGCAAGGCGATCCTCGGTCTTCACGGCCTCAAGAGCTACCGCCTGAAGACGGCGCTCATGTGGCTCTGTGAGACGCGTCCAACATCCCTGTGGGCCTGCGAAGGGACACAACAATCTGTCCTGGAAATCATCAAGTTCTTGGAGGACGCCATTAGCCGGAGGAACCTGCCCTGCTACTTCTGGCCAGACATCAACATCCTGGCCACCCGCAGTGACGCCGAGCTGTCGGAGATCTCTCATGACGTGCACCAGCTGAAGGTCCATCTGCTGAGCTGTTCTCTGGCACTCATCACCCACTGGCTTGTTGGGGACGTGCCTGTCGTTGCTGAGCGTCTTCTCTTCAGTGCCGTGCCCGTGTCGCAGACCCCTGTGAGTCTGCTGACGGACACCTTCATCGAGCAGGTGTTGCACGGCCGCACGGAAGGCTGGTGGGGCTTCATACAAAGCTGGGCGGCCGTGAGAGTCGCTCCCGGTGCCTGGCCAATGCCCTTCACCGCCTGCTTCTCGCTACTGTTCCGATCCATGCAGCAAGCCTTGCGGTCGGAAGACGGGAACAGAAGTGGAGACCTGCTCTGCCGCCTGCTTGGGCTGCTGAAGGCGCTCCAACGCAAGCAGGACACTGATGATTCAGGAGACTCTTGGATGGTGGGAGTAAGCCGTAGCGATGGAACCCGTCCGGTCGCTCCACAATGAAAAGGTCGAAGAGAAAGAAACTGGTCGAGTCACAAATCGAGGCTGACTGAATGAAGTTCGTGACTTTTGCTGCAGTTTTGGCTCTGTTGTTAATTGTGGGCTGCTATGAAGTAACAACATCATTTGAATTTACGTGACCATGTAGGCAGATTGATGCTCATGAATGGATTATATTGATCGATACTTGATAGGGATATACTTGATGATGCTTGCTGCTTAGTACTTATGATTGACTGTGAATAGTTGTCATTTGATTGTTTTAATTAAAATAGGTATCAACTCTGGCTTATTCAGTGTAATTGCTTATAGTAGGTAACCTCGTGAATAGGTAATTATTTACGTATGGCTGTTTAGTTACTGTGAGATTCTATCCTAAGTTGCCATGCAGGGGTAAAAAAAAAAGAGTGATACACGCTTCTGTCCCATCTATTAGTTTTGGCACAATGCGGCATCCGTCTTTAGTGCGCCGGAAATATATGGCTTCGTCGGTTCCAAGAAGTTGTGCTTAGCCCTCACCGGGCCTACTGGTTTTCTACATACACCCCTGCCGAGGTGGGGGGGAGGGGGGCGGATACGACCCCCTCGCCGTTTCGCCCCTAATTAACCCTCGCCCGCACATGGGGGGGGGGGGGGTGGTTGCCACCCCCCCAGGTAGTCTTTCTGCTCTGCACTCGACATTTTTAGAGCTAGAAGGCTGATTTTTCGTATAGCTGCTCCTCTATCCTTTCTTGATGTCCACTGAAAATTTCAAGTTTCTGTGATTTTTGGTTTTGGAGATATGACCTTGTTTTTCAGGTCATGTCATGACCCAAATGGCCAATTCTCAACATCTTGCGTTTGCCATGGGCCTTGTGGGCTTTTGACACCCTGATTTCGGCCTTTTTTGCCAGTCTTACCTCCCACCTATCATGGAACATGTTGTTCGACGATGTACAGGGGTCAAGGTCAGGGTCAAGGTCAACCTAGGTCATCTAAGATAATTGCGTTTTAGGCAAGCTGAATTTACTTTTTGTGAAGTTTTTTGACTGCATTTTTGGTAAAAGCTTCTCAGATCATGATTTCATGTAATATGGACCCAAAAACAATCGGTGCACACATCAGTATACACACAGATACACACAGACATACAAACACATATAATTGACCTTGACCTAACTTGACCTGAAATGACCTCAGCAGCAAAATTCTGGTCGGGTAGTGTGACAAAGAGGTTCTAGCTGGCTTGGCACCAGAAAACAGCATCGTCATCGGTATTTGATAAGCAGCGCACTTGATATCCAACGGTGACCCAAAACAGCAACATTTTTTAGTTTGACCTGACCTGGAAGGTCAATGACTGACCTGAGGAGGTAAAACTGGGTATCATTGGATTCATCTCTTCCCAAAGAATCTTTTTGGTCTTTACCGCTAAGCTCTATCTCCAACAGGAACGAAATGGCGCGGGGGGTGGCAACCCCCCCCCCCCATGTGCGTTCTAGGATGGGAAAATGGCATGTGCGGGCGAGGGTTAAGCTACATGCCTCGCGGATTAAAACGAGCGCCGTTGCGAGACGCAGCAACTGGTACCGATTTTAAGGTCTCGGTCAGCAGGGCCCAGTTTCACCAAGTGCGGTAAACTCAATTTGGGGTAAAATACCAAACTACCCCACTCCATAACTACAAAAATACTACCCCGAAATTAGTTAAACTAGCTTGGTGAGGTTGGGCACTTGGCCCAATCTCACCAAGTTATGTAAACTTAATTTTGGGACAGTATTGTTGTAGTTACGGAGTGGGGTAGTTTGGTATTTTACCCCAAATTGAGTTAACCGCACTTGGTGAGATTGGGCCCAGGTGATCTTTTAGGTCAGGTCAAGAAACCCAAGGCACAGGTTCAATTTTTGGCAAATAACTTCACCAAACATGGTTGCAGACCTTGCAGACCCGCAATTCTGGCACTATCATGTTCCGCATGCTGAGGCACGTCGAATGGTAGACCTTTTGCTCAGGTGAAGTCAACTTAAGTGACCTCGCCTCGGGTCAACGTCAGGTTGACACGAAGTTGGTCGGAGGAGGTCATATCGCATACCATACGATCCGGCAGGTCTTGCCAAGTCCATTGATCATTGCTTTCCCAACTCGCCAGCTCAATTTGAGTTATTGAGTTATTGACGAAAAAGTCGTATGACCTTAGTAACGTCATAAATGACCTCACGCAAGATGAACGATGCAAAAATAAAGCGTTGGTTGCTAGGAGTGCATGAACTAGCGATTCCATGTTCTTGAGGTAGGTCTCGATCACTGTCGGCGCCAAAATAACATGAGTTGCGATATTTTCTCAATGGACTTTTAATGGTGAGGCCGTAGGTACGTGACCGACCTGACCTCAGGCGACCCTAAAAAAAAATCCGAGATATACCTAAAAGTCGTGAAACCTCTGGAGGATACTAGCCACTAGGTCCTGAAAGTATCATCTCCTTGTGCGAGCTCCTCTGGCACGGATGGCATTGCGAAGTTAGTTGCGACATTTAAGGATCTGGCGGATGTGCAATCATGACGTCATAGGCTATTGACCTGACCTAAAAATGCAGTTGGTGTCACAACATCCGGCTGGAATCAAAGGTCAGGTATGCGCATGCTAAAACGTTAATGAATTAAGAACAAAAAGAGCGATATGAGAGCAGCGTTGGCTTACGTTTTAAGTAATGTAGGTCTTAACACGGCATCGGGTAGCAATGCGCCGGATGTCCGTATCTGTCTAAAGAACCACTGCCTTTACTTGTCTCTAGATACAATTTGTCGCATATTTTTACTCAAAAGATGTTCTTCTTTTGGCATCTTTCGATTGTTTGTTATGTTGCGAATAAGCTCCGTCGGCCTGAAAAGACCATTGCAGAGCTATGGGATGACAGGATATGGCGTAGACATTGCGCTTAGGACACCGACACTCGAGTCGACAGTGAGCCGCGGAGGCGAGAACGTCCCGGTGGGACCGGATTGCCCCGTTAGAACAGTCCACCCACCTCCCAAACGGTCACCCCGGAGAGGATCTTAACGGATCTTGGTATGGACCCGACCTCAACCACCGCGCCGGTTGTCAGGTGGGGTGACCGCCAGCCCGGAGAGGAAGCGTGAGGGGGAGGCGGATGGTTTAGTCCTGAGGATAGCGAGGACGGATAGTATCTTTCGATTTGATTTAGTTTAGTTTAGTTTAGTTTATTTGTAAATCATCAATGGGGTATGCCCCCAATCACAGATGAAGTCAGTTGAAACACAACATGCACTTATAAATACAGTTCAGCGAATACCGCTTAAATGACTTAAATGACGGCTGGAATCAAAGGTCAGGTATGCGCATGCTAAAACGTTAATGAATTAAGAGCAAAAAGAGCGATATGAGAGCAGCGTTGGCTCATTGTGTTATTATTGGCGGCAGCACATATGTAGGTTTGATGGGAAGCCGATGAACCCTCACCACTCACTGAACCTGCACGTGCACCTTGTGTCCTTACCTACTTCTCAGCTGTTGGCAGTCAATATCCAATCGACATCTGGGTGATAACTGATACGTATTCACAAACCCGATTGTAACTCCACAATCATTTCACCCACAGATCTTCTACCTGATCTTCTGTCGCTCGGTGTGGTACTTCCCACTGCGACTCGAGTCTCATCTCTACGTGGAGGTGGTCTTCAACCAGATCGCACCCGACTATCTGGAGGGCCTACTGCTCGTCATGCCCGGAGAAACGCTCCATGAGGAGGTGGTGGTAAGTTATTACCGTGGTAATGAAGCTGCTGGTAATGACGAGAAAAACAGGTGATGAGGAATTGGTGATGAGATATGATCTGCATTGTGGACCCATACACGGCGTTTCGACCTTTTAAAGACGGATAATATCGACAACTCTATAATTTTATATTGTCATCTGTAAATTATCATTGTTAGCATTCATTTTTCATAAGTAAAAATCATTCATGTTTTCATCCTTGTGGTAAGACTGGGGTAAATTTCGGACTTGGACAGATGGTGGAGCAAAACAGCTCTAACCTAGGACACCAGAGGCCATGGCGGTGCTACTCACCAACAATGAATTGTTGGTTGAAACTTCTCGTTTTTTTTTTTTGTCCTTTCAAAGCACGCTGTTGTTGCCACAAGACGACCCTTTCAGTTAAGCATTTACGAGTATCATGCTGCTCCCCTCTCACGATAACACCTCTCTCATCGCCGCACCTTCCTTCCCCAGTACGACATCTCGCGCGTGGCTGCGCTGCTGCACCGTGCCGCCGACATGAGTGCGGTACCCACCATGAAGGAGACAAAGTACCTGCTGCCCAAGGCGGCACTGATGGTGCGAGACATCAAGCCACCTCAGTGGGTGAACATGGTACAGGATAGCTGGTCCGAGGTGCATGACAAGACGCCCATGGAGGCCAAGGCCGCCGTGCTTGGTGAGTAAGGAAGGGCGGGTGGTTGATGTTGTGGCCCTGTTTCAGCGCATTGACGCTACGTGACTCTACGGGCATTAGCGCTCGGTTTCCCTGAAAACGTAGGAATTGCCAGTTTTTGCTTACGTTTCTATAGAAACCAAGCGCCAATACCGGTAACGGTCGGTGGAGTCACCCTGTGAAATAAGGCCGATGTGGCGAAGGAAAATAATATTTGGCCGGCGAGGATAGGTATATGTTATAAGTTGTGGTGCTACTAGTAGTTTGATACGTTATATGCGTTTTCACGGTGGATGTTATTTTTTTGTTTTGTAAACAAGCTTCCATTTTTATTCATCTCAATTCTTTGGAAGGCAGTCGATGTGTCGTCTTACTTTGTTACGTTCAATAGTTCAATATGTAGCGTTTCAGTATGCAACATCTCAACTCTCAATAAAAAAATGAAGCTAAAAATGTCATTCATATCGGTAGAGAAGGACGGAATCAGCGCAGTCCTCAAGCCAACGGCAACGTCCATTCAATTTCAGGGCATTTACACTCAAGCATATATCTTTCGGGATATAAGAATGGCACCGCCAACCGTTCTTTCTAATGCTTGATAGAATTATTGCCCTCCATGACACTATCCGTTCTTTTTTTCTGCAGAAATTCTGGAGCGCTGGCCCCTGTTCGGCTCCTCATTCTTCGCCGTGAGCCGAGTGACGGAGAGCAGAGAGGCCGTGGATCACATCCTGGCCCTCAACCGAGGCGGTGTGCACTTCCTGGATAGCGTCACTCATGTAAGTGCTCTCTGAAATATTGTATTGCACAATCATGAGCGATCCACATTCTCAAATTGTGTGGCGATTGCTGCTCTGAAGTAGATGTGCAAACTGAATGCGGGGAGGGTAGTGTGTGCTTGAATCAGGAAATCTGATAGTCCGGGTGCTTCAGGCGGCGCAAGTGTTTAATGTCCCTAGTGCCGTTTAGCGGATTTAGACGAGAGCGTCTAGAATGGTCGGTTGCTGCGGTTTGGTGAGACTGCCGTCAGGGCTATTCTGTTGATATTCTGTTGCGTAAATAATTGGCCAAGATGCTGTCAGACTCTCTCTCTCTCTCTCTCTCTCTCTCTCTCTCTCTCTCTCTCTCTCTCTCTCTCTCTCTCTCTCTCTCTCTCTCTCTCTCTCTCTCTCTCTCTCTCTCTCTCTCTCTCTCTCTCTCTCTCTCTCCCTCTCTCCCCCTCCCTAGCTAACCTTACTCTCGTACCTCACATTATTCCGTTTACCCCACAGGAGACTCTCGCCCGCTACCCCTTCTCCGAGGTCATCTCTACAAGAAAGGTCAAGACGGAGGAGGGCACCCTCTTCTTGGACATGAAGTACGGCAACCTGATGCAGCAGAAAGTGGTCAGCATCCAGTCTGACAACGCTCATGAGATATCCCGTCTGATTCGCCAGTACATCAGTATCGAGCAGAAACATCAGCCCTCGCAGAGAGGTGCTGAAGAGGCCAGAGAAGGCCAGGCTTCGAGGTAGCCAATCAGAGAGAAGGACCAACGGGCTCCACCAATCAGCGTCGAAGATTGAACGATGAGACGAGAGAGGAAAAGTATAGGCGAGTCAACGTCTCAGTGTATCAATTGGAATACGTTCCCAACATTCCTGAAAGATTGGAGAATATCTGAAAACATTCCGTCCATACTGACCGGGTGAAATGGTGTGCAAAACGCCACGAACTAAAGATAGAGGAATGCTTGTGTGTGGCGATGAGTGTTGGAATGAATCAAAATGAGTTCGGAACAGCGGGCGCCAGCGTACGGACTTTGCGGTGCGGTGTCTTGTTTGGAAAGATGTCGAATATGTGCTCAATGACTCCAGATCTGTGTAGATCTGGTGTGCTATTTCATGCAAACTGGGCGCGGTGTTATATTTTCGTCTGGGAGGATTTGTAGTGGTTTATACGACGCAGGATATTTATACCACGCAGCTTGGATTTTATGAGGAATCGACAAGATTTTGCTATATATTTTGTGTACATACCGAGAGAATAGTTTCCCAAAATTTTATGGTGGATGCTCTCAGCTACCCCTGTCCATTGCATGTTTTTGTTTTGAAGATCTGAGTAGTTTTAGTGTTAAGGGCCATCACCAATAAACGCCTACTTTCACCGATGCATGTCTGTACGCGATTGCGTTTTAAAAGTGAACTTTCCTAATCGATTGCGCAATGGTTAGAAACGTCAACAATCATCCCAGATCGATGGCGAGCTCTATGTATCGCTAATGGCCTTCAAATCTTTCAGTGGCCAACTAGCGCCCCGACATAGTCAGGCTTAGAAGCGGGCCGGAAGAAGTCAGGCCTGACTTCACTCACACCGACCAAAGCAGATGTTAGACAGCACTCCTTTCAACGTTTGAACAAACACACAACACGCCAATAACGGGAACGATTCCCATTTCATAAGTCGAGAACCACAACAGCTGCTTATCAGAGAACAAGTCGAAATCGGAGTCGGAGTCACAGAAAATCCATCGACTCCGCAACCCTGGTCAAAGCCACAGCAGCTGATTAGCGAACCAGCGGTTCAATGTTCTCAGCAAAGATACAAAATATGTGGCAGATTTATATATTTATACATTGATCACAAGTAACACATGAAAGCTGACTGAACAATTGGACTAGAAGAAATATAAAACGTGTAGCAAACTTTTTAGAACAATACAAGCCGAGATGGCCATTTCCTGGGCCCCGAGATCAATGCACTATCTGCATGATAATCGATACAATGATCGACCGATAATCGATCAATGATATACGATCAGATCACAGACACAGACTAGGCCTTCTATACTGCAATCAAACTAAAATCACACAAACATGGAATAATATGGAGACCAACATGAAAAACAAAAAATCAGGCTCACGCGTCAAACAACGTAAACACTAAGAACAGTCAAATTACAGCGACGTAAGGATCAACGAACACCACATCAAAAAGCACGATAGTTGTGGTCGTGAGAAACCATTTCTGAAAGGTCCACAAACATTCATAGGGTCAGTTCATAATGAAAATATGCGTCATAAAGACGACTCATTCTGATAGCATTCTGTTTATCTTTCGCATAAGACTGCAATACATAACAGACTTCAACGTTCCTGTCACTATGGATTTCCTCCATCCTCCACCAAAGTCCGCTTCGCACAAAACACGCAGAAAAAAAAATGACTAGCGATTACGACATAGACCATTAAGTTTCAAGTCCCATCGGGCAGAGTTCCACCTTACAAGCCTCGCCTTTCGAATGTTCCACTAGAACGAGTTGAAGATATCCTTGTGGCTGAGAGGTGGCGGCGCCGGCGCTGGTGTGAGGTCCGTCAAAAGGTCACCAGAGGGAGTCTCCTGTCGAGCCAGGTCGAGCAGGTCTTGACCCACCTCTTCGGGTTCCTCTTCGTCTACGCCGTCCTGCTGTAGAGGGAAAGAGGGGGGAGAGAGGGAAAGTGTGTTAGTAACTAACTGAATGAAAGGGAGACAGACTAACAGACGTAGGTACAGGGTGTCCAGAAAAAACGGATACTATTATTTTTTGCTCTAATTCCGAAAATAAACACTTTACATTTTAAAATGGCACATGCTTGTATTCGCAAAAATATGGCAAAACAGACAGCAGGCGCCATATGGCATATTAACTCTTTGGTTAGTCGCGGCAGCTTCTCAAAGTAGATACTCAATGTGAGCGGCCTTCCGGCGGATCAGCTCCAGCACTAGCACAGTCTGCAGGTGACTGATGGTCATGTTGACCATCTCGGAGGGCAGACAGACAACTTTCCAACGACGCATTACAGTGCTCATGAGTTTTGCCAAATCTTGCACTATGAGCACACAAAGTTGGAACAAAATCGGCACGTGCGTTAATGAATGCGACTTAATTTTCGTAGTATCTTTTTTCTGGACACCCTGTATATACTTACAAAATATACATTAAACTACAAAGTAAGCAAAGTATTAAGTACCTAGGTAAGTAAAGTAAAAAACGCGTGTCAACAGAAAACAAAGAAAATGAATAACCAAGCGAGTTGATAAGTCGTCAAAAGAGCGAAATAACAGAATGAGAGCGAGAAAGAAAAGATAGGTGGAAAAACGAGATACAATATTGATTCTTCGAACGCGTAACTACAGCTTTCATGAAAAACGATGGACAGAAAAAGGAAATAAACTATTGATGCTTCGAACGCGTAACTACAGCTTTCATTCTGGAAAGCAGCTGACTGATACAGCAACGATACTTAGTAGGTACTCCTTGAAACGCATCCTGTTTATTGGAACGCGAACTGTGAGAGATAATAATGGTACTTACTTGGAACGCGTACTCGCCGTACTGGAACGCGGACTGGGAGAGGTCCACCTCTATGGGGAAGTACTGGTGCTCCTTCATCAAGTCGTAACACTGCTGGTGGTATCTAGCCAAACCGGTGATGAGACGCTGTGAAAACAGAAAAGGCGTCTTCATTAACCCTCGCCCGCACATGCCATTTTCCCATCCTAGAACGCACATGGGGGGGGGGGGGGGTTGCCACCCCCCCGCGCCATTTCGTTCCTGTTGGAGATAGAGCTTAGCGGTAAAGACCAAAAAGATTCTTTGGGAAGAGACGAATCCAATGATACCCAGTTTTATCTTCTCAGGTCAGTCATTGACCTTCCAGGTCAGGTCAAACTAAAAAATGTTGCTGTTTTGGGTCACCGTTGGATATCAAGTGCGCTGCTTATCAAATACCGATGACGATGCTGTTTTCTGGTGCCAAGCCAGCTAGAAACTCTTTGTCACACTACCCGACCAGATTTTTGCTGCTGAGGTCATTTCAGGTCAAGTTAGGTCAAGGTCAATTATATGTGTTTGTATGTCTGTGTGTGTCTGTGTGTATACTGATGTGTGCACCGATTGTTTTTGTGTCCATATTACATGAAATCATGATCTGAGAAGCTTTTACCAAAAATGCAGTCAAAAAACTTCACAAAAAATAAATTCAGCTTGCCTAAAACCAATTATCTTAGATGACCTAGGTTGACCTTGACCCTGACCTTGACCCCTGTACATCGTCGAACAACATGTTCCATGATAGGTGGGAGGTAAGACTGGCAAAAAAGGCCGAAATCAAGGTGTCAAAAGCTCACAAGGCCCATGGCAAACGCAAGATGTTGAGAATTGGCCATTTGGGTCATGACATGACCTGAAAAACAAGGTCATATCTCCGAAACCAAAAATCCCAGAAACTTGAAATTTTCAGTGGACATCAAGAAAGGATAGAGGAGCAGCTATACGAAAAATTAGCCTTCTAGCTCTAAAAATGTTGAGTGCAGAGCAGAAAGACTACCTGGGGGGGGGGGGTGGCAACCCCCCCCCCCCCATGTGCGGGCGAGGGTTAAATCACTGAACACAGCGTTCGAGCGTTCACTTCTCCATGTTGAGGGAGCGGTAATGACCAACGACTATGACCAACTTGAGCTTGGTTCGGCGACTTGATTTGTATCCGTACTTCATTGAATTTGCATTTCGTGAACCGGCGTGTCACCGTCATTGAATCGTATTTGTATTATATAACTTGATTGTATTTCTGTTTCACGAGAACTAATGTTTTGATAATTTAAACAAGTGCACAATTGTATTCATGCGGCATCCATGGGCTGACGACCATACTTCCTTCATACTCTGACAAAAGGTTAGCTCACCTGCAGTTGGAACACGATATCCTGGACGTGTTTCTGGTCCAGCAGCTCCAACTTTACCAGCACGTCCGACCGAAGGCGCGCGAATCTGACGACACACGGTGGCAATGTCCATCACACTGATCAACAGGCAATTAAAGATATTTTTGGAAAGTAGCTTTGGATGCACGTTTTCTAATAATTCTAAAATGATTATGAAAATATGCTATTACAGGCAAAATTGTTGCCATTTTTAACCCTCGCCCGCACATGGGGGGGGGGGGTTGCCCCCCCCCCCCCAGGTAGTCTTTCTGCTCTGCACTCAACATTTTCAAAGCTAGAAGCCTGATTTTTCGTATAGCTGCTCCTCTATCCTTTCTTGATGTCCACTGAAAATTTCAAGTCTCTGTGTTTTTTGGTTTCGGAGATATGACCTTGTTTTTCAGGTCATATCATGACCCTAATGACCAATTCTCAATATCTTGCGTTGGCTAGGGGCCTTGTGAGCTTTTGACACCTTGATTTCGGTCTTTTTTGCCAGTCTTACCTCCCAGCTATCATGGAACATGTTGTTCGACGATGTACAGATGTCAAGGTCAGGGTCAAGGTCAACCTAGGTCATCTAGAATAATTGCGTTTTAAGCAAGCTGAATTTACTTTTCGTGAAGTTTTTTGACTGCATTTTTGGTAAAAGCTTCTCAGATCATGATTTCATGTAATTGGACACATAAACAATCGGTGCACACATCAGCATACACACAGACACACACACAGACATACAAACACATATCATTGACATTGACCTAACTTCACCTGAAATGACCTCAGCAGCAAAAACCTGGTCGGGTAGTGTAACAAAGAGGTTCTAGCTGGCTTGGCACCAGAAAACGGCATCGTCATCGGTATATGATAAGCAGCGCACTTGATATCCAACGGTGACCCAAAACAGCAACATTTGTTAGTTTGACCTGACCTGGAAGGTCAATGACTGACCTGAGAAGGTAAAACTGGGTATCATTGGATTCGTCTCTTCCCAAAGAATCTTTTTGGTCTTTACTGCGAAGCTTTAGCTCCAACAGGAACGAAATGGCGCGAGGGGTGGCAACCCCCCCCCCCCCCCATGTGCGTTCTAGGATGGGAAAATGGCATGTGCGGGCGAGGGTTAACAATGCTCTGACGGTTAGGACAAGCAAACTGCGAGCCGAGCCGCCAGTAATAAAAACATGAAGCTTTATATGATCTTCTCCAACCCGATATGATCACCTACTCGACACATTCCTAAGCCATGCATGAGATGCTCATTGACATCAATACAACACAACACAATGCAATACAATACAATACGATACAATACAATACATATACAATAAAATCCAATACGTACCTGGCTCGTCCTTGCTGTCGGCAGCGCAGTATCAGTCGGTACTCGTAGTTCCCCGTTTCCAGTCTGTACAGGGGCTCCTGGAGAGCGGCGTAGCTGTACTCTTCATCATCCATCTCCTGGTGGGGGAGTCAATGGGAGAAAGGTCAATGGGAGCAAGGTCCACGACAGATTAAAGGTCCATGACAATGAGTCATGAGGAATGAAGGTCAACAAGTGGATAAAAATCACCGAGGCATGCCAGTCATATGGAAATACAGATCAACGATCAACCGTGCTGTCAAATGTCATGAGAGAAAATATGAACTGTCAGACACCCCGAGGTTATGAAAGTCAAATAGGAAGAAATGTGAGCGGTGGACCGTGTTGGGTAGCACGTGACATTTCCATTTTGAGCAAGCATCCGACTTTTAGAGGAGTACCCAAGTATGGTACAAGTATGGTATGAACGATGGAAGCAAGACGATAGTATATAGCTCGGCATGACCAATGAGTGACTATGCTATAATCATCAACTTCTCAGCTGGTATCGGATCGCTAAATGCAACCTCTGGTCGTTTGCATTATGAAATATTCCGTGGCCGACAGATAGCTTACATAATATCACCGGTATATTACGCAAAAACACAAAAACGCGCTATAACGCATTAGTTACACCTCATATCATTCCACATACCTTGACTTTGAGGCAGTAGCTGAGGTACTCAAACTTAACGTCCAGGTACTTTTTGATGGTCAGTTTGGTGTCTGGGATCGCTTTGTGTAGATACGTTCCCAGATCGGACAGAATCTGCAGAAAATAGGCAACCGGTCAGAAACTCAGAAAAGCCATGGTGGCAAACGTCCGGTGACCCATCATCAGTCTTCTTTATTTGAGATTCACTTCGAGTGTAGGCATTACTCGAAATGTTGAAAAAGCAAAAAGGTGTTTCCCTTTCCTATGTTCGACACTAATACAATATCTTGGGTAGTGCGTGTATACAGTTGACACTACCAAAAAAAATTTGCCGATTATCTGCAAGCAATGCCTGATTTCCACATCCCGTGAGAGAAAAGATAGATGAGAGGAGGGCTAAGCACGCTGGGATGAACTGTCTACACGACCGGCCACATTTCAAGATAATATTAAAAATGTGGCTCATGATCAACGTTCCATCACCCCTCACCCAGTTGTAACACCCACCGGTTTGAGAGTCCTCAGCAGCCTGACGCCGTTCTTTTCCATCGTGCGGTGGGCGTCCCCGAAACTGGTGAACACCTCGCTGGCCCGCGGCTGGGGCTCCCGAGCACCGATCACGGAGAAAGTGTCACCGAACGCTGCCAATGATGGGTGAGCGATGTTGGGTTATTTCAATAACTACTTCAAACGGTAAGTTGGGGACATTGATGATTTCGGGCCTCGGGGTCCAGGACAACCAGACTGTGGGCGGTCATCGGCACCCTTTTTTTGGGAAGATTACAGCAACCACTAAGAACATCATGCGTCTTAGAGTGCGGCCAAATAAAATCAATAAAAGTAAGTGGGGAACCCCTTAATTAACCACTTTAATCCCTATCACGAACAAATCTTAAAACATTTAGGTACATTTTGTAGCCTCCGAAATCAAAGAAATATATTCAGCGTGTAGATGTACAAATGTCAACTTTCAATAATCCACTAAACCAACTTCGTAAAAAAGAAGCTGACATGAGAAACACGAATACAAGTGCCCACATTCATCGCCCACTGTCCACCATTTAACGCCCACTCTCTCGCATTCACCGTTCATCACCCTGACTGTCCCATGTGACCTACCTTTGTGGACGCGACTGAGCTCAAAGAAGGCCTTGAGCACCTTCTTCAGGTGCTCCACCACGCCGTGGTACATGTTTTCCGTCCTTTCCAGCTCCTCCAGACGTTTTACCTGTTGGTCAGCGCATAAGTCAGTAGAAGCGGACTGTAGTGACCCAAACCCAGGAGGATGGTTGGAACAGTCGGACAGCACGATGCTTTAGTGTCAAAAATGATGGTGGCAATGAGAACCTGGGTTTTAGGCTGCACGTCACGGCCTTTAGATGTCACCAACGGTCGCAAAATTCTTTATACCGACAGATGTTTATATCGACAGATGAGCGTTCTTATTACAGCGAATCACCTTGTAGCTCGAGCTAAATCCAGACAAATGAGGACGATCACCCATCGGCCATTGCCATTGAGGAAGTGAGCAGTCAGCATTCTAGCATTAACCGAACAGTGAGCGCTCTGGGAACGATTGATTCGCCCCCACCAATGAATGACACTCTCAATCAGATACCCGTTCCCACAGTGAGACCCACATTAACCCCCCCCCCCCCTCCTATCGGTGACCCCCACATACCAGCGAATCGTTACACAGAATAGCCCGGGAGAGTCCGAGCGCGTCCGCCGTGCTAGCGCTCATCTTCTCCACCAGTCTGTGTTTGACGCTCTTTAGCACAATGTCCAGTGTTCTGCCCTGGCGTGGGTCGGCGTGCAGCTTGTTGTATGTGATGGTGACGTCACCCTGAAAAAACGGGTAGGTGTGACGTCATTATGGTAAGTTGGGGGTCGGGCTTGTGAGAGAACTGACAAGTGGCAAAACAGATCAGAAACAGGTTGGAAAACTGATTGCAGAATCGATCGGTATCGTATTTTGCGATCGATACCTTATCAAGCCTGATTATGACACACTAACGAAGTTTTGTAAATACAATTCGAAAGCTCCGACCCGAACGATTTCAAGTGGCGAATAGTGTCTAGTTCTAATCTAAATAACCTGACCTTATTGCATTGCGTAAGCTCCTCACCGTTCCAGACTGTATGAGCTTAGCGACCTCGACTTTGGTCCTGCCTTTGACAGAGGTGCTGTCCACCTTGACGATTTCATCTCCCGACTGGAGTGTTCCGTCCCGGCCCGCCGGGGTGTTGTCAAATACCTGTTAGGTGGAGAGTGGGGTACTCGTTACAACAGCACAGCAAGAGCATGCGAACGTCGCCTACTGATGATAGAATAACCCTATTTTCAAGACGATAAATTACTTCGTTTGCAATGATGCCAGCGTTTGGTTACGGGCTCTATAGCATCGTATGGATTAAAAACATTTTACAAGTGGATAACATTCAAACACAGTTCGGCATAGATTGTGCTGATTCAGGGCAGGGCAGGGAAGGAAACAGCAGAAGACAGTGCAGAACTGAGAACACGACAGATGATCACATTATGGGGAAGGGTAATACAGAGGGTAAATCATCGCTCGGTCGAAAGCTGTATGACATAATTGCATCGAAGCTGAGGAATTCACCATCAAGTAGCTATTCTTAGCATCATCGCTATCACATCACAGGTATGACAAGGCATCATATCCATGTTTCCATACCTGTACGACGTAGAGACAGGGGCAGAGTGGGGCACCGCCGCCAATGCTGATTCCTATCAGGTTCTTCTCATCTTTGGATAGGGTGACGCTCCCCGTGGTGAGCGTCATCCCCCTGGAAAACATGGACAAAGTGTGAGGAGGTGGCCATAGCAATTCATAACTTATTGGTGTAACGTACCACAGCACAAAAAAGGACACACGCGAGTGAGTGGAAATCAGAAGTGTGTTTTGCGAGCATCACGATCAACCCTACACTCGTACGTACTACGAACGCATAAATGTATGCACACAGATATTACCTACTGTGCGTAACTGTAGTATCTGTTCACTGTAGATATCTGTTAGTATGTGCGTAACAATCGCGTCAGTAGCTTTGTTAGCCCGCGCCATTCTTATCGTCGGCGTTCTTTCATCACGGCGTTCAAAGTCACCGCCGACGTACTGATCAACGTCATACCGAAACCCACCTGCGGTCCTCGCCCTCCACACTCCACGTTCTCGTCTTTTGGCTCGTGTACAAAATATGTCCGTTATACATGGCCGGGGTTTAGTTCCCCTCGGCGCTACTCGCATATGTTGCGGTAAAGCACACAGACTCGAGCCGTGTGTCAAATAGGTCCCAGACAGGTGGGAGCTCCAATCGCGCCTGGGCCAGTATACGTCGAACTAAAATTCGTACAGAATACGCATCATCTACATTGGCAATGTAAATATTTGAATCGGCAGCATCTGTTAAATCGGTAGCTTTCCGGCATATCTATGGTTGTCTCGTAGCACAGTGAAGCCGCACACTCGGCTTACTCTAGTAAGCACTAAAAAAGAACGGATTACCTATTACCCAACAACGGAAAACACCTATCAAAACAGCTGCAATTAACACGTCAGCCGTCAGCCTCAGTTCACTTAGTTCACAGTTTCACTTCACAGCTGCAAGCTAGCGCATATCGACAAGTCCGTAATTCGTAAAAACCGTCTACACTCCGTCGCGACACATGCCCCCGACTGGCACCCGACGGCCCGAATGTCCGCTGTTCGCACAGCTGTGCGATCAGGCGCAGGGGCGGAGCCAGATCTGCAAAACGTGACGGCCGCTAATGGGTGTATGCTAGATTCTCGAGCCTTTAGAGCATTGGGTTTGAGGGTGAATCATATACATACAACAGTCGAACGGTTTGATATGAGATGCAGCGGTCCGCAATGCAATATCAAAATTTTCATTGTCTTTCAGCTATTTCAACTGTACTCTAACTACCTACAGCTACGCCAGACAGAAAACAAACGGATAGAGCTGAACTCCAGAGGTGTAGATGGGTTGTACGGTGGGGAGCGGGGGAAGGGGTTGCGGTTGCGGTTCCATGAGGGCACTCCTCATACGTCTTCAGTTTACCTCTCATGACACTGCCACAGGGATAAAATAATCCCGCACCGCCAGAATCGAGTTTTTGATGCATAATTGTAGTGGCAAGTGACATGGGCGACACCTCCAGGGTCCTCCAGAGCCACTGAGGCTACGATGCGGGACCCCCGCGACTGGAGGGAACAACAACAACTACCTGCACCCCCATGTGGAAAATTCCCAACAATTGAGCGCACCCAGGCTGAACTGCCCTACTCTACTGCTAAAGAAATGGTCATACGTACAAGACCAAATCATCATATGTGACGATCATTCACTCGAAGTCCCCTCCCCCAACTTTAGTACCCTTTGTAGACTGTAGTAGTGTAGTACACACTGGAAAATATCCACACACTACGCCAGACGCCCGTTGAACCCTCATACGCCGAACTTTGGCGCAAGCGATTTTACACTGAAATTTCTGCATAATTTGCGTCCAAAGTTGGGTGTCTATTTGCGCCAAAATTAAGCCACTTTTACATAAAGCACAAGTGCACACTGCACATCTACCGACCAAGGCTATACCAACCAGAGAGAGCATTCCGGGGTCGAGCGTTCAAATTAGTTGATGCTTCCATTGATACCCAATTCCACAATACGCGTAGCGCGCTGTAGCGTTGTGCAGTGGCGGATCCAGGGGGGGGGGCAAAAATGGGCATTTGCCCCCCCCCCCCAAACGGCATAATTTTAACATTACGCCTATGGACGAGGCATGGAAAGAAACGATAAATTGTTATGGTTTGCTCCCCCCCCCCCCAAAAAAAAACTCTGAGCTGGATCCGCCTCTGGCGTTGTGCCGTGAAACAAGGTCCGGGCCGGAAGTTCTGGGGCCAGAAAAACCGGCGCAGCGGTGTCTTCGAGACTGGCGGGCGCCAGCGAGGGCCGGGCAGTGAAGCAGCACGTGCTCCAGGACATCAGCTTCCTCTCAGCACACGGCGCAGAGCACCACAGGACACAGCTTGTCCGCGCACTGCTGGCACACTCCGAAGTGGAGACAGCCGATTCGGTGCAGGTACTGAAGCGAGCGGCCCCAATGGCCCACCCTCATCTGATGCACCGAAACTGCATCCTCTCGGTCCTCTCCGGGGATGGGGGAGCTACAGCATGCTCCCAAAGAGTGGCTTGAATGGTGACTCGGGCCAATTAGCGCGCCATTGACGCTAGGCCGCACAATGAACCGCCAGGGTCAGCAAGCTGGCGTCTGAGGGCATGGCGGCCTGTTTCGCCAGGTCGTCCGCGCTACCTAAGTGGGATCAAATTGCATTAGTCAGGCCTGCAGTTCGCTTTGAGGTCCCTCTGTAGTCTGTGTGATATTGATATTGATAATCAGATCCGGTATCGGTAACCCTGGCCATCTGGCGTCACCGGTAATGTTTTCGTGCAAGGCTAAGGTTTCCTGTATTAGGCCGCCGTGTGCCAAGCCAAAGCATGCTGTGACGTCACTGGGTAAGAGATGATAACGTACCACACTATCAGTATCGACCGACTCAGAACGACTCAAACTGACTCAGACCGACTCAACCGACTTAAATCGATTCCGATCGGTGACGCTAAGGTTACCGATACCTCAGATCCTGGCCTGAAGCCCACGTCAGTAGGTGGAACTATGGTCATGAGTACCCAAATATAGGAACGTTCCCATTTTTGGGAACGGAGTTCCCAAATATGGGAACGGGCGTTCCCATTTATGAGAACGGAAGGTAATTTTTCGGCCGTTCGCCCACTAAAACTCATTAGTGCATCACGTTTCAAAAAAGTGCACGCTAATTTACGCAGCTACTAAGTCTCTATAAAATTATCTTTAATCTGACCGTTGAACAAGGAAATTGACCGTCGAATGATATTTGTAATGATTTTTTGAAATGACGGAATGGTGAAAACATGGGTTATACTACATTTAACATGCAATTTTAAGGAAAATGAAGCGTTTTTTACATTTTGAGGTCAAGTATAATAATTTTCGCCTGGTTATGAAGTTTCATACTAGCGACACCAGATGCTGACAGATGCAAGCGAACACGCGGACAGTCCCGAGGTAATATTGTTGACTTTTGGTGTCGGGGCGGACGACCGCGTGGAACGTGAGTGACTTTACCGAACTACTGTTGTAAACTCAGTTTAACCCTATTCCTGGCGGGGGGGGGGGGCCTCAGGAGCCCCCCCCCCCTGAGGTTTTTTGGTTATTTCTCCCAAACGCGTTGAGCTAGGAAGCTCAAATTTTCTGACTTTTCCTAAAAGGCTTCTACGCAACATGTCTGAAAATTTTGAGTTGATCTGACCTCAGGTCAGGTCACCAGAGGCGGTTTGGTGACCCTACCTCAGAAAAGTTTGCAATCACGCCAGAGCTAGAGTTTTTGACCGATCAATTTCTTCTCTTCAGGGTTTAGTTAGGGTACCAGTATGTGCAATTTGTATATCTCGGAATTTTGATATCGGTGACCTAAGGTCAGGTCAATTTCGCGACCTCCCCATTAGGTATAAGTCAATGGGGGAAAAATCAACTCCCTGTTTTTACCACTAAAACGGGTCGGAATGGCCCCATATACCATACATGACTTCATATACGATCAACCTTCACTACCTTGAGGTCTGTTTTGCTGTTGGGCAGCTGTGAGGTCATGTGACGTCATCAAAGGTCACCAAAGGTTTTTGGCCAATAACTCCGTACAGGAACAAGATACAGACGCGTGGATGGTCTCATTGTGTTCAGCTCGTCAAGACGCATCGAATGATATACATGATGACCTCGAGGTCACGTGACCTGAGGTCAACCTTTGACCTTGACCTTTCGAGGTCAACATATATATCATTCGATGCGGATTGACGAGAGGATCACGATGATGCCCTTAGTTTGTTCCTATCTTGACTAATTCGAAAGTTATTCGAGAAAAACTATCTCCATATCTAGCGCCGCCATTTTGACTTTTTCGACCCCTGTGACGTCATCTTTGACCTGACCTGAAAATGACCTTAGTAAAAATTATAGATCTTGGCCGTGCGTATCCGACGCCGTTTACCGCTTGTCGCTATCTTGCTTCGTTCTCGAGATCTCAGGGGGGGGGGCCGAATCGGCCCCCCCGCCAGTTTCTTGTCCCGGCGGAGCCCGCCAGGAATAGGGTTAAGTGGTTGAAAATTATTCAGCTGTATTTTATCAACCCTGAAAGACATATTTTATTTGGATGCTAGCTGTTTAGCGTTGCTTTTCAGGAGCGTCATGAGCGTGGTTTTTGCCTTCAGTATTTTTAAGCACGATCGTTTTGGGGGAATTTCTTTTATGCAGGTCGCCCTGTGTGGCTTATTTATAATATTTATGCTGATTTTGATCATTTCTCGTGCCCATCCTACCAGGATTTTTGCCACTTACACTCATTAAGAAAGGAAAAAAGTAGATTTATATTGGGACTAGGTGTTTTGAGAGTGAAACATTTCAGCGTTCCCATTTTTGGATACTTACTTGTGCTCGTCAACTATCGGTGATAAACAGACAGGTGCTTGACATGTCTCCACCATCGGCGCGGACGGTGGTTATAGGCATGGAAGACCTTGTTGAACATCGCTGAGCGTTGTGAATTACGTAATCCTGCAGAGGGGGGCGTGCCCGCTGCGAGATCGACGGGAATAAAAGCGCAGAAGACTGGGCGAAACATGCGACGGTCTTGCCGGAAAGGTCATCTGATGATTGTTGCGTTAACAATAATTTGCGGCGTTGGACGTGATGCTTGTTAATGAAAAGAGCCCCTGAAAGGCGTCGGTGAAATCGTTCCCAATTTTGGGTACGCCGTTCCCATAATAAGGAGCGCTTGCAGCGCCAGTGTACGAGAGCGTTCCCAAATTTGGGCTCGCGGCCCGGATGATGGACTGCTTTAGAAATAGGGAACGATTTGAAACTACGATGGGCCCTACAATATCAAACTCTTTCCCAACAATATTGAGACCCGACTGGAAAAAATGCACGCTTTCGTCGAGAACTCGAGCGTAGTTGGGCGTTTGCGCCGAAAATTTTCGGCGTACTTCGGCGTAAATCGACGGCTTGCGCCGAAATTTTCGGCGTACTTCGGCGTAAATCGCGAAAAAAACGTCCGGGGGTGGCACCAACCCCCCCTCGGCCGGCGAGGGTTAAATGTCTTCGGGAGTTAAACATCTTAAATATCACTTATCTTGTCTCGTGTTCGTCTCAGGGTATTTAAGTCATGTTTAGTGAACCTGATTGCGACTCTCCCACGGCGGGAACAGTTCACCGATCCAGAGTGAGGTTATGGATTGTGTCTGATCCCCTAGTTCAGATAACGTATGCTATCGTGTGCGTATTGACCGTTGCGATTCCTGTATTTCCGGCGTGTGGTTTGTGAGCGGACGCTGGCAATCGGTCCCGCGTGGCCTGGTATCTGCCCGATCCCATCGGCCGTGCTTGCACCACGCCTGTTGAAGGCCCCGTCAGGCGTCAGTCACCGGCTGGGCACTACTGCTGATCAGAGCCGGGCAACAAAATAAAGGTTACGTTATGGAACATGCCAGTGAGTTTGTGAGTCAGGAGATTTTGTGATAGCGAACCCTGGTGCTCGGTCCCACATGGCCTGCTGATGTCTTTTGTCTGCCCGATCCCGTCGACCGTGCCAGCAACCGTCTGTAGACAGTAGTCACTGGAAGACAGTCACACACACACGCCAGCCCCCCCCCCCTCGACGAAAAGTGCGTGGTTACAGCCTGCAGCCATCAGTAAGCCTTGAAAATTTTTGGCGCATGAAGCATGGCTTGGTAAAATAATTTCGGCGCATAAACCCTTGCGCCGAAATTTCGGCGCATCACCTCCGCCGAGAACTTCAGCGTAGTGGAGGCATTTTTTCCAGTTGGGTATTGAGACAAATATCAGGCGGTTCACGATCGTTTTATATTTTTTGGACGTCATTTAGCGGTTCTTTTTCTTGTTTTAAATAATGCCTACATGGCGTTCCCATATTTGGGTTTATCGTTCCCAAACATGGGAACGAAAATGCGTTCCCGAAAATGGGTACGCTTGACCATAGTTCCGCCTACTGACGTTGAGACCCATTCCAATTCTAGCAATTCACTGGAACCCATATGCTCCAGTTACTTACATCTTATCTTCATCCGGAATGAGGCTGTCATGTTCAAACATGGGTGCAATGTTTGGCAGCAGATTTGCTAATCAAATTACTGAAATTACTAGCAGAACCACCCCCAACAACAACACATAATGCACACACTCCCCACACTCCACAGAAAATGTTTTGTTGTTGCGGTTTTGAGATCTTTTTTCCGCAAGGCAGAATGTGCAACAGCTAGCGAAAAGGCTAGAAAATCCAGCAAAAGTCACGGTACGAAATACGAATGAACCATCAATGAACTTTAAAACATGTTGTTTGACTCATATTTATATTTTTATTTTTTGGACTGATTCTGTTTGTGCTTGTTGAGGTTTGGATGCGTGGAATCATTTAAGGAAATTATTTTCTTATTGAGACTTTTTTTGAAAAGCTGCAAATGAGACAAAAAGTTCTTAAAACTTCCCTAGTTTCTACATTCCTTGATCTGCAGAAATAAGTAAATAAGTAAGAATGGAATTGTTATGACTTATTGATTTTTTTAGTTAAATGGCTTTGTATTTATTAATGAGTACAAAATTTCTATATAAACCGTGAGTACAGGCCAAGGCTGACAGGCTAATCTAGCACCCTTGCCAATGCCAGCATACAGGGTTTTATCGATGATATGGACTAATTGTAATGGATTTCAATTTCAATGTCAAAAGGCACCTACCTACCTACTTACCTAGGTCCCTTGAAACAATTTATCTTATAATTGTCACAGTCATGACTGCATGCCTCTACAGTCTACCTGGACCCTATTGCTTAGTAGTAGGAGTTATCATGCATGACCATGACGTGAATTGTGAGTTGGAAATCATATCAGTCATTTGGTCATGCAGCACTCTTTATGGACGCCGGTGAAAACAGGGCGCTGGAGGGCATATTAGTCACGTGACATTTGGAACTTCTCCCGCTCCATGGGCCTTCTATATCCCAAACATCACGTGTAAATTTAACGAACCTTGATCAAATCGCCCCAGGTGCCCTCTTTTCACCGTCGTCCCTCTTTATGCCCTTCACCCCTGAGGGTCACGTGGGAGCTGTTCAAGTGTCTGCAGCCGCTGCAGCTCCCATGTTCATAAAGGTGGGGCCTAGGTAATGGCCAATCAGGCAAGACACAGGCGGCAGTTCTTGCCATCCTGGTTGGCTGCTAGCTAAGCCCCACCTTTTTATCACGGGAGTTGCAGCAGTCACAGACACTTCAACAGAGCAGTGGTGGCTGCCGACTGGTGCTTATTACGGTGGCACTCCTTCAACTTAAGTAAATTTGGATGCATTGGGTTTGGATGCTAATCTTGCATCATCATGCAAAAGGTCAAAAAAGCCAATTGGAGATGTGCATGCTGATGGCCTACTGACCAGCATCATCTCCTTCCCCAGGTTGCTGTAATGGCCAGCACCAAACACTCTGAAACAGAAGTCCTCATTAGTATGGGGCAGGAAAGATCTACTCTTGCCACCACAAGCAGCAAGCAAGATGGCAGCAGGGTGTCATGCCCAAAAGTTTCTGATCCTGCCATCTCAGTCCAACACACAGGCATCACTTCAGTTGCCCGTGGTGTTTTCCCATGTGTGTTGTGCTCAGAGTCATTCACTGACGGCCTAGCTCTGGCAGTACATGAGCGGAGCCACAGCTGCCAAAGCCCAGCACTGCACTGTACTGTCTGTGGTCGTTCCTTCTCACTGCCAGGAGATCTACACCGGCACAGAAGACGTCACGATAAGCGTGGTGGGATTGCAGCTAATCGTTCTGAGGCATTTGACAATGATCACGTACCGGTACCTCTCCGAAGCAATGAACAGGACACGCAGACCACGAAGGTAGCGGAGAAAAGCAGCATAACTCAGGTGTCAGTGGTATGCAGCGCGGATGCCAGCGCTGTTTCTGCGAGTATTATGAGAACCGGGACAGCGGTAGCACGTACTGTCGGGAACCGACCATGGGAGGACAAGCGATGCACCAGCGAAAGAGCGGAAAGTTTGACGCCGCCGAAGAAGAAACATACGAAGCTGATGGAGAAAAGCCGGCGATTATCTGAGGTTTCTCGTGACTCAGCTTCGGACATAGACATGCAAGAAGGAATGCATGGTAACAGCACTGTCAGTGGTACCATTGAGTCTTCAGAGGCGACTAACGACGCCCTCGAATCTCCTTTTCAGTGTGCCATCTGCCGTGCCCGCTTCGGCCACGTGTCCTCTCTGCAAAAGCATGTAGAAGGTCATGTACAGACCGAAAGCCGCCAACCTGTGAAGAAAGCACCTCCACGCCGCAGCCAGAGAAGTCGTCCTGCCAAAAGACGTGCGGGTGTTGGGGAAACCATAGATAATCGTATTGATGTTCGAAGCGATGATGCGGGAAGTTGTGGAGGAAGTGATGGTGACGTCAGCGTAAAGCCTTTGGATGACCCTCCCATGGTGAAAAAGCGAACATGTCGTGGTCGCAAGGACCCAGGTCAAGCCGCCATGTCACGATCGGTGAAGGGTGGTTCCAAGGCGGGCGCACAGGCAGCGCTATCTTCTACCGCTGAGGCCGGCTCAGTAAGTAACCCCGAATCGGGCACCAGTGCCAACCGGGAACTTGCCACTTCCGCCTCCGAGATACAGGCAGCTGCTTTGTCAGCACAGAACTCAAAGGAAGACGCCTCTTCTGCCCAACCAGCCATCGAACAGAGTACTGCTACCAAGTTCCTACAACCAAACCCTCGTCGTCGCACTTCTCGTGCCATAATACCGCTAGTTGTGGATGAGGAAAGTTATGTGGACGACGCTCCTGCTGTGTCCCCCAGAACTCAACTACCTTCAGTGCTCAGCGGTGCAGCAGTGGGATCGTTATCCAGTGGTTTAGATGGTGTTGCAAATGAAGCCGTGGCGTCGTCGACTGAGACACCACTATCGACACCTCCCCCGATGGTTGAGTCGACAGAAAGCTCGGCAGTAGAAGGCCAGGAGGCCACCACGTCGAGTGAAGCAGAGGCCGTTGCTCCGGTTAAGTGTCCAGAAGTACCCGGGCAATTCAAGTGCGACGTGTGTGGGCGTCGACTGGCCCACCGTCACGCGCTTGCTCGCCATAGGCGACTGCACTTTGCTCGCGAGAACTTCCAGTGCGATAAGTGTCCTCGTCGCTACTCACGATTCGACTCGCTGGTAACGCACAGTCGAAAGCACGCGACAGAAGCGACACACAAATGTCAAATCTGTTCTAAGGCGTATCGGTTGCGCTCTCTTCTTGAGTACCACCAGCGGGAGCATAAGAACGAAGATGTCCCTCCTGCACCGGTTGCAGAAACGCCTCGTTTCGAGTGTGCAGAGTGTGGTAAAACGTTTTCGTTCATGACAGCCCTGCGGCGGCACGCACGTCTGCATCTTGGTACAAAACACTTCTTCTGCGAACTTTGTCCAAAGCGGTACAGTAGGTTCGATGCTCTCGTGCTTCATGCTCGAGCTCACTCCCTACTCACCCCTTTCGAGTGTGTGATATGTGCGCGATCTTTCTCACAACGTCAAATTCTCGAGTACCACGTCAGGGCGCACGCGGGTGCCGTCGATGGCGCTTACCCACCGTTCAATTGCACTATGTGCGGGAGGTCGTTCCCCGATGTGGCTCAGCTACGCGAACATCGCTTACGGCACTCAGCCACTCGCTCGTACCTGTGTGACATGTGTGGGAAGGCGTTCAAGTCTGCCAACAAACTTCGTCGCCACGTAATGACTCATACCGGCGAGCGACCGCTGACCTGCAAGGTGTGCGAACGTCGTTTTGTGGACAGCACGTCGCTGACTCAACACATGCGGATCCATTCAGGCGAACGACCTTTTCAGTGTCACGTATGTGGCAAAAGTTTCTCGCGTAACGTGACGTTGAAGATTCACGGGCGAACGCACAGTGGCGAGAGACCGTACCCTTGTGAGATATGTGGTCGAGCCTTCACCACGATAACCCAACTCCGGAGGCATGGACGCGTTCATAGCGGTGAGAGGCCTTATATCTGTACCGTTTGCGGTAGGGCTTTCTCGCAAGCTACTCACAGGAAGGTACACATGCGCACTCACGCTCCGCGACCGGATGACGCAGTGGACGGGCAGCAACCTCTTCTGTGGCTGCAGCAACCTCTTCCTGCGGCGTTACAGCAGCCTCAGCAACAGCAAGAGCAACAACAGTCGCAGCAGCAGCAGCAGTCGCAGCAGCAGCAGCAGCAAAAGCAGCAGGAGGAGCAATTTCACCAACAGCAGGAGAAACAACAACAGCTGACTGCGCCAGCCACTGGCCAACAACAACATCAACAATCTCAGGAACATAGCCAACTATACACGCTACATGAAGGACTGCAGGCAGTGGCACCACTTCAACTTGAAGAGGGCAACGTGCCGCTGCACTTTCTCGAGCATTGATATGTCCTCGCAATGACGCTGTTTTGGGCGTGGAGAAGCGTGCAAACTTTGAGCTTTTGCTTGTATGACGGGCGGATCCGAAGAGGGGTAGGTGCATTTGGGTGCCCTTCCGTGGCGCCCAAAATCGAAATAGAAAAATCAACGTTTTTTTCTAGAATGAAACGAAAAAACATTTTTATGAGAAAGTGTGCTTTAAACTGCTCAGCAGTATGTAAGGAATCGAAATCCGGGATATTTTTGAAAATTGGAGGAACTTTTTTGGGGCATGCTCGCTGCCTCCCCAACAGCGTGCAAGACCGCCTTTCTGGATCTGCCAGTCGCTTGAAAGTTGTATGCGAGAGTGTTCCTTGTTTGGTAGGTATATGGAGATCCGCTGTCGCCTATGACGCTGTTTCGGGGCGTCGAGAAACGTGCAAAGCTTGACGGTTTAGTGGATGGCGAGTGTGTTGCTTGTGTACTTACGCTTTGTATATGACGTTTTGATGGATGTCTCAATGATGGAGCGGTTGCTTTATTGACCACTGCCTGTGAGTGTGCAATGCTCCGTGTATTGTATATTTACAATTTATGACGTATGACAATACATATGTGAAGCCTCATATCCAATGGCTGGTGTTTGAGAAAGTGTTATACCTACATATGTCAGTCATTGGGCTTACGATGATAGATTCTATCATCCTTGCTTATTGTTGAAAAGCAGGGAGTAAGAAGGGTTATTATATTTAATGGAGTGGACGCCGGACGGATAAGCCTTTTCACGCCTGCATCGATAGCTCACTTATCCGCACAAAGATGAGCCCATGCACGAATGCACATTGGGCATTGCACACGTACACAGGCACAAAATTAGGTACTGAGCCAGCTTAAACAGCGGGGCGATCGCCAAACTCGACAAACTGGCTCATTTAGGTTGAAAGTGGCATCAACAATTAATACGGCGGATGTCAAAGTAACAGATTCTCATAAAATGACACTTAATAAAATGAAATAAAATCCGGACTGCTTTGTTAGGTCTAAATGCCTTAACCCGCGCCCTGCTGGGGGGGGGTGTTTGAACACCCCCCCCCCTTGTGGTTTTTCGCGAATATCTCAAAAACGGCGGCGCTTCACCTTATGGTACATCAATTCTACACATGTTGTAAAAATTTCAGACCAAGGTCATTCAAGGTCAGGTCATCACCCCATAAAAAGTTTCAATGTCTGTCATAGCTACACCGAGTGACCGATCGCTTTGAAACTTTCAGCGATTGCTAAGAGCAATAGCATGTACAAAATGTATATCTCAGAATTTTGATATCGATGACCTAAGGTCAGGTCAATTTTGCGACCTCCCCATTATAAGTCAATGGGAGAAAATTGAAATGCGCCTCTTTTGGACAAAAGACATTATAAACACTCCCAAACACCGAATTACAAGTGGTTTAGACACACTGAACATGAAAATGGTGTCCGTGACCCTTGTTTATGCCCTGAGGTCATCTTAGGTCACGAATGGTATCTAACAGTTTTTCGCAAATAACTTTTGATAGAGGCATGCTAGAGCGATGAAAACGCCTTAGATGTGTTCAGCTCGACGATACGGATCGACTGATATGCAACATGACCCTTTCCGGTCAGGTCATGACCTTGACCTGAGGTCAAATTTTCAAGTTGACCTTTCAAGGTCAACTTATAGTTCATTCGATGCGTCTTGACGAGAGGAACACAATGCCGGTAAAAGTAAGCTCGTACAAGGCTTGGGTCAAAAGTTATTGCAAAAAAAAACTGTTTCCGAAAAAATCGGCTATTTTTGCAATTTTTGCCCCCTGCAGGCAAAACCGTTGACGTTAGATCAAATCTGAGAGAATTACTCAGAAAGGGCTTTAATAGGGCTATCGAATGCGCTTTTCTGCGGCGCTGTAGCTCTATTGGTTCTCGAGTTATGCGTTGGCTTCTTGGAAATTTTCGACACTCGACCTGGAAATCGGCGAAATTTTGCCTTCAATGACCTCTGGTGACCTGACCTTTGACCTGACCAAAAAATTGACCGAAGTGAGTTCGTCATTATTTTTGACGCTCTTTCGAACGCCGCCTACCGCGTATCACTACGTGGCCCAGGAACCGAGTTACAAGGGGGGGGTGTTCAAACACCCCCCCCCCCCCCAGCAGGGCGTGGAAATCCAGGACCCCCAGCCGGGCGTGGGTTAAATGATAACTTGATCACTAGAAGATTCACTACCTACACATTTGAATTCAATTGTTTCGCTACCACTTGTCCGTTTTCCGGCGTCTGTCCTGGTTGGTAAGTTCCTTGCCTCCGATTCAGCCATCTGGGTTCGATTCCCGGGCGATGCACATGACATCGCCGCTGCCTGACCGCTTGGAACAGCGTGAGAGTTCCGGTTAGCACCTCGGTTCACCGGATGTGGTACCTACTTACCTAATCTAAATTCTAAACCAACCAGCCATCGTCCGTGGTTTACCGCTGTTTCCCGTTAGCGTTCCAGTTTCGGAGTGTGGTGTTAGTGTTCAGTGTAGCGTCGCAAGATCTGTCCCGTGGTGTTACTATAGTGTGTGCTATTGCAGTCTCCATACCGTGGTGCTACTGTTTTGTGTACTATTGCAGACTAGTCTCCATACCGTGGTGTTGTTGTCATGTGAACTATTGCAGTCTCCAAACTGATGTTACTGTTGTGTGAACTATTGCAGTCTTCGCTCCGTGGTGTTATTGTGGTGTGTACTATTGTAGTTTCCGCATTCCAGTGTTACGGTCGTGTGAATTATTCCAGTCTCCATACCATGTTGTTACTGTTGTGCGAATTCACTCTATGTTTTATTGCAGTCTCCACAGTTTGGTGTTACTGTTGTGTGAACTATTATAGTCTCCATTCCGTGATGCTAGTGTTGTGTGAAATATTGCAGTCTCCATGACGTACTCAATCCATGAGCTGCAGGTGAAGTTACATAATTCGTTCACCTTATTTTAAAATGCCGGCGTCAATAATTGAAGCGTGTCGACCAGAAACAATATTTCAAGCACTGGGTGTTGCTATAGATTATGTTCGCAATCATCTACGTAGTTAAAGACACTGAATAACGGAACGCCTCAGACCCATAACCCGTCTACCGGGCGTGCGACTATACCACCATGGTGAACGATTTAGGCGCACCAACCGGCAATCATTGTCAAATACGAGGTCAAACAGTGTCAAAATACCTAGTAACAGGCGACGTGTGCAGGCGCTTTCGGATACTGGAAACGAGTTTATCCCGCACCGTAGACAGTGTTTACAATTGCTTACACTACAGCTCGTAAAATGAAGTCGCATCTAATTCCTTATCTGCTTAGTAGTGAAACTACTTCGGAATATAAAGGTGGAGTGTGTTTAATTACCTAAAGCGCGTCTAGTTTCGTTTACGTCCCAGAGACACGCCAAATGCATCAGAGAAATTGTATATTTGTTACAAAATATTGTCAGAAGTAAATATTAGCTTATGTATTGTCAGTGAGCTTTGCAGCAAAGTATTTCTCCCAGGCATTCATCCATCACTAAGGCTCTGATAGCAGACAAAAACAATCACACACACGCACACACATACACCGCAGGAACCAGCCAGCTTCTAGCATTCGCCTTTCCCCTGTAATCACGTTGAGCAATTAAGTCTCTGCTGGTATTTGCGATTTGGTCGACCCTTGAGGTCGCCAGCTACTGTTATTGCATGGTGCCACCACTAGGTAGCAGGTGGGGAAAATGAGGCTTCATACTATCAAGGACAAATTCAACCGCTCCAGAATGCACACATACGGACATTCATGGACCAACTCTTACTCTCGGCTGAAGAGCCGACACACCCGCGCCATCTTTAATCGGCGCCAGCGCCCTCTTTTAGCGACACCAGCGACACCTATAAACATGCGCTAAAACATAGCGCGGTTCTTCGAAATAGCACCCTCGGTGACAGCACGAATGCGGAGCTATTACCGATGACAGCACTAGCATAGAATCCTGATCATTGATCAACGGTAACAGGAAGATTGGTAGTTGCGGAGCCATGATCAATCCAGATCACGATCGCTTCAGGTCGGAGCTGAGGCCTCAGATCCTCTGAGTCTGGCGGCCGCTGTCGGGAGTCGGCGTCTCGAACACCTTTTTGCGAGAGGCCACCATTCCGGAGAGAGGCGAGGAAAGGCGACCGCCGAGAGCCGCCGCTGACAGGACAGAGCCCGTGAGTCGCGGGCAGCTGGGAGACCGCATCAGCTCTGAAAAGACGGAGAGAAACGGCGGCGTCATTGCGGGGTGTAGCAGGAACAATATCATAGCTGGGAGGCAACACAGTGGCTGTCCATTCGCAACCCCAGACATCACACAACCCTGTCTGTCCCTTTCCTCAACCTGTGACTTGTGCTCCAAGCGTTCTTCAGAGTTCAGCTGTGCTTAACTTGTGATTTACCTCTGCCTTAAATGTTCATTTACTTCTAACACACTTTTAAGCAAACTTCTTCTAACACACTTCTAACTTACTTCTAACTTCTAACACACAACACAGCCGTGTCTGTTCCTTCTCTCCCGATATGATCAGCGCTTTACCCATGCTTTAGCTGTGTCTTGGCGTATTCATTTACCTCGGATTCTGGCCGGGTTGAGGCTGGCGCCCCTCCTGAGACGCGGCGGCTGCTCCTCCGCGTCTGAAGAGCCCCCGCTGCCGTGCGCGCTGACCCGCGACCCTGCGCACACGCACACCAGACAATGGACTTCGGTCAGAGGAGTCTCGTGCTTGTTGGAGCTAAGTCAAAGTTAAAAGTAGCACGGCAACAATTATTCATAAAATATGCCCAGAAATATGTTTTTTTTTTTAATCTAAAAATTAGCATGATACAAAGCAAAAACACTGATTTGGCAGTTAGGTACATCGTATCAATAACATGACTTATTGTACATAACCAAATCCTGAAATAAACTACATAATTGAAAGCTTATTCTCAAAGCAATAAGTCTATAAAAAGCATAAAGCATCGCTACAAAAGCAATTATCCACAAAAGCGACTACAAAGACTGCGAGCTGGCTCTTAGGTAGTTACATAAAGCGTGCATATCTAAAGGATGGTGTGGACTATGGGCTGTAGAGCATCCCGACGGATTGGGACGCACGTGGCCCTGATTCACGACATACCGCTAATCAACGCTACCAGGTATTGGCGCTCGGTATTCATGTAGGCATGCGTAAACAAAATTGCCAACTTTGCCCACGTGTCCAATGTCCATGGAGACTTATAGCGCCAATGCCTAGCATGGTCGGGTAACGGAGTGCCGTGAAAAGGACTCTGCAGATTAGGTACCGCTTTCCACAGCTAGGCCGAGTTTTCGTACCTTGTTGACATCTCGAAGCCGTGAGAACGACATGTTCTAGCCTTGCCCGAAGCGAGCTGACTTCATCGGTACGAAGCTGACGCTCGGCACGAAGGTAAGAGCACAGCTGACCGCACAACGCCGTAAGCTCCGCCTCGCGCTGCGTCAGCACAGTCAGCAGTCAGCATGGTCAGCGGTCAGCACAGTCCAGTCAAAAGTCAGCATTGTTAACAGTTGCCAGGCAGCACAGTCAGCAGTCAGCACGGTCAGCGGTCAGCACAGTCGAGCCAAAAGTCAGCATTGTTAACAGTTACCAGGCAGCACAGTCAGCAGTCAGCACGGTCAGCAGTCAGCACAGTCCAGTCAAAAGTCAGCATTGTAAACCGTTAGCAGTAAGCACAGTCGGCAGTCAGCACGTTCAGCGGTCAGCGGATATTAGTCCAGTCGGCAGTTAGCAATAACAGAACAGTCGGCAGTCCGCACAGTCGAACAGCGATTACTACAGTCAACTGTCAGAGCTCATATAGTCAGCACAGTCGGCAGTCAGCACAGTCCAGTCAAGTCAGCTTAGTACAAAAAGCAATCAACGCGGTTAACACTATCGGTAGTCAGCACAGTCGGTCAGCGGTTAGATCAGTCCAGAACAGTCGGTAGTCAACACAGTCGGCACAGTCAGCATGGTCAGCAGTCAGCACGGTTAGCACAGTTGCAGTCCGCATTGCCAGCAGTCAGCACAGTTAGCAGTCAGCACAGTCCGGTCAGAAGTCAGCATTGTCAGCTTAGCACACAAAAACAATTAGCGCGGTCAACAGTCAATTGAGGCAGCACAGTCAGCAGTCAACATGGTCAGCAGTCAGTAAAGTCAGCATCAATTCAGCCAGCTATCAGCACAGTCAACAGTCGATGTTCGAAGCGACTAGCCGGTGTTACCATATAACAGTCATGCTATGGGCTACAAAGCATTTAGAGACTCGTCAGTCGTCAGCGGCGTAACCTGTAATTTTTATCTGTATATATTCGTTATTTATGACGGTAGCGTGGCTCATTAACGAAATACTCAGCATGAAACACTGTACTGAGTATTTCAGTCATTTGTCGGTCAGAAGCCAGGCAAGCTAAGAACACAGCAAAAGCGTTACGACATTAGAGACTAGAGGGCTGCTCGTATTATTACACAATTTATCTATGTTACGAGTTGCCAGATACAGGGCCCTACAGAAGGGCATCGAAAACATACAATATACTGAGGCATCGAATACAAGGCGGCAAAACGGCACCCATCCAACCTCAAAACGGCAAGAGTATGTCTGCCTTCCAAAATGCAACGTTAATAATTTTGTCGGCTGACTCAAACTGAATATTGGAAGCTAGAACTTAAAAAAGTGATGAAATAAAGATTATGGAGATATTAGGGTTGTAGGGATATTAGGGAAAGATTAGGGTTTTCATTGCAGTTATTTATAGATATATGTTTCATTTTCTCTGCTTACTCGGTTATCACGTCATGTGCGTAAATGTATGGAATGCAGCACTGTCTTTTCATCGAGCAAGCACAAATTCAAAGCGGCTAATAAGGAGAGCACAGCACGCGTTAGACTGGCGAGGCAGCGTAAGCAGCATTTGCTAAACACTTCGCTCCATTCACGTTTAGCGCAATCTAGCACACCATGTTCAGCTAGCACGAAACATAAGCAAACCTGGCCCACCGTCCTACCTTTTGAGTGCTCTCCAGCTGATGCTGCAGCCTCTGAGCCTCTTCACGGGTTTCTGTCAGCTGACTGCGGGCTAGAGCCAGCTGCTGACCGGCTGAGGGTTTCCCGGCTGCGCTGTTACCCTCAGACAGTTCGGATATGTTGGCAGAGAGCTGAGCCCGCAGTTGTTTGTTCCTGTGAGATGGAGAGGGGTTAAAAAGTGGAACAGAGTCGCTCTGACCTCCCACAGTAGCAAGGCTCTCGCCGATGCTTCAGTAACACATTAACATGTCCATGTCATTTTACTTATAATGACACATATTATAAGCACCTTGAGTTACAAAGGCGAATAAAAAGTGATGTCAAATCCTGACATGAAAAGCGTCCGCGACTACTTTTTTAACCCTAGAACGCCTAGGGGGGGGGTTGTATCAACCCCCCCCCCCCCTGAGGTTTTTTCGAAGTGCACGCTAAACAACTTGTCGTAGCGGGCTGAAATTTTCAATACCCTCTGGGGCAACCTTTGCGCATCTTTTGCCGAAAAAAATTGATCGGGTCATGTCAGGTCACGGAGTTATGACGTCATAAGAGGTACAGCCTCCGGCCGGATTTTCACAAACTGAGTGCCAACGCCCGAGGTTTCCGGCCGGTGGTACGGACATCGGTTGATGGATCGTGATGAAACTTCCCATGCATGTTGGGGCAAGTATTGGCTATCATATGGCATAAGAAATTTGACCGGGTCAGGTCAGGTCACGGAGCTATGACGTCACAAGAGGAACAGCGTCCGGTACTATTTTTGAAAAGCGCCCGAACCACTATTTTGCTAATTCTTGTCACCTCAATGGGAATATGCAGCAATATTAGCTTCTATAGGGAGCAAATGGACCTCCCAAATCCAAAAATACAATCAGATTTCAAAAATTCAACTTTTGATTTTTCGAATTTCTGCCGCCGACTGTGACCTTGCCGACTTCCGGCGCTCCCAACGCGCCATTTTTAGAGCTAGGGAAACGAAATACATACCAAACGATAGAGAATTGATCAAGGAACACGATAGTGAAGGTTTCAAGTCAATATCTCCCACCGTTTTGCCGCAATCGCCGCCGAAAGTTGAAAAAAGTCTATTTTTCCGAAAATTTGACCTTTGACCGGTCAAAAGTAGGTCAAATGTTGACCTAGGACCAAAAAATATACCACCAATCGCGAGATCTCGTTGAGAGCAATCCGTTGGTTTTTTCCGCTAAGCTCTACGACCTTCCGTTTCGAAACGCCAGGGGGGGGGGGGTCGTAACAACCCCCCCCCTGGTCGTTCGTGTTACCTATGAGAAATGGCCTGGTCGTGCGAGGGTTAAATGAGAGTGAGTGAGTGAGTGAGTGAGTGAGTGAGTGACTGAGTACTTGAGTGTGTGCTGCGTGCGTGCGTGGGTGCGTACGTGCGTGAGTGCGTGCGTGCATGCGTTCGATCGTTCGTTCGTTCGTTAGTTCGTTCGTGAGTTATTGAGTTAGTATTCCCACCTGGCATCCAGCTGGAAGACGCGCTGGTTGGCCTCCTGAAGGCTCCGGGTCTGAGTCTCCACCTTCTCCTCGAGTGAGGCCGTCTCCAGACACTTGATGCTGTACTTCTCACTCAGACTGAGGATCTCACCCTTGATGTCGCCCATCTCCGCACTGGTGAAGAGAAGAAATGTGTCATGAGTGGGAGAAGAACATAAAAAGAAAAGCTGACGCAAAAAGACACAAACGTTTCCAGCAAATATAGCAAAGCGATAACAGTAGCGGTAAAGAAATAAGTCAATGTCTTTCGAAAAGATGTGGACGAAGTAAAGAAATCACACAGAGACTAATGACAGCTACCGGTCCCGTCAATATCCAAAGATAACGCAAAATGGTTACAAGCATATCGTAAAGTGGCGAGAAGATCACCCATATCTGATCCACTCAGCCAGCCCGACTCTCTGTCAACTGCTCGTGACGTCACAGTTGTACTCAATGATACCCCTCCCCCTAGACACTTAGTCCAATACTCACACATGCTCTTTTTGAAGTTTGCCGACATCGAGCGTGGGCTGCATCTTCTTGATGAACTCATCCTTGAACTTACAGATCTCTCGTTGCACCTCAGTTTCGTGTGCCTTTCGGAGGGCGTCCAGAGCAGCCAGTGTAGCCTGTAACGGGTCGAAAAAAGGTTAAAATTGATGAACATAGACCATACATAGAACGCTCTTGGTCACTTATATTTTGTGCTACATTGTTACTAATTGTTTAACGGAAAAGATGTCATCTATATGATTTTTTCTTACAAACGGAGTTCGAAATGACGTTACAGAGAGCAGTAAGGCTGAAAATGCAGTTATGTCGTTACCGTTTGGGTTCTGCTATGAGAACGCCCATCATACCACATAGGGCGATGTTAGTTGAGCTATCTCTTGCAAGTGATTGCCGAGTCTTTAGGAACCTACATTGCTGGGAGCCCTATCTGCCGCTTGCCAGGGGTAGGGATGTGAATGAGAGAAGAGGAGAGGAGAGGAGAGGAGAGGAAAGGAGAGGAGAGGAGAGGAGAGCAGAGCAGAGCAGAGCAGAGCAGAGTAGAGCAGAGCAGAGCAGAGCAGAGCAGAGCAGAGGAGAGGAGAGCAGAGGAGAGGAGAGGAGAGGAGAGGAGAGGAGAGGAGAGGAGAGGAGAGGAGAGGAGAGGAGAGGAGAGGAGAGGAGAGGACTGGAGAGGAGAGGAGATGAAAGGAGAGCGGAGGTATAACGCCTATCTACGCTCCTTACCTGCGTCTCCTCTGCCAGCGCCTGCTGTTTCTCTGCCTCCAGGGCTCGCAGCTCGCGGTGGTGCTTCTCCTCTAGATCGGCAATGATACGACGGTGAGAGTTCTCCATGGCGACGAGGCCCTTCTCACACAACGCCTGAACGAACGAGAACATAAATGTTACACTTTGCAGATCTTTTTTGTTACAAAACAACTGAACTACAGAGAACAGGGGTTACATTTTGGTCTTTTTCTTTCAGTATCTGGCCAATAGAAAGCATAGCTAAGACACAACTGGACGAACCCAGCATATCGCGGTCAAAGTAGGAGTTCATAAACAGATTCGCCGAAAAGGAAAATTTCAACTGAAAACTGAACTGCGCAGTGCCCATGAAGTTTAGCGTTTTATAGGCTAACCCACAACAGAAGCAAGTAATTCACCTTCTGGAATAGAGCATTTGCGTAGTATTTATCAGAGTCCGATGAAGGGAGGCCTAGCGTGGGACCCCTTACGGCTCTAGCAGCCAGTATAGAGATCTTGTACAGATAAGATCCCCATGGTAGCCACACTCACCCGTAGCTGCTCGATCTCGGCCTGATAGCGTCTCCGAATGCTCTCCTCTGCCAGCGCGTCATCGTGAGGCTTCTCCGCCCCTTCCCCTGCTGTCCTCTCATACTGCCCACGCAGACTAGAGAGCTGCGTCTCATACTCCGTCTCAAGGCTCTCTAAACGTCGTCGAAGAAGGCGAACTTCACTCGCTAGTGCTTCCTTCTCGCGTTCATACGTAGCTGTGACCTTGTTGACCTCAGAAGTCATCTCGCGTCTCAGTTGTTCCAGTTCGGCGTCTTGTACCTTGCGCAGAGCCTTTAGTTCTGAGGTATGTTCACTGGAAAGCGTTTCAGTACGTGCGCGAAGCTCTTCGCATTGCCGACAAGGTTCTTCGGCAGATGCTGGAACGCTAACAGTGCTAGATCCCTGTGTCAATTCTTGACGTATGACCCCAAGAGGGGCTGTTTCCAGCTCTGCACTAGCCACCATGCCCGTAATGTCTGAGACGCGGCGGCGGCTCTTGTCGACGCTGCGAGGGCGCAGCCGGCTTTTGCGAAGACTGTCGAGCTCGCGTTCCAGGGAGCGAACCTGGGGACAGAGGCAGGCAGGATGTTTTGACGTCGGCTAGACACGGAAAGAGGTCAGCCAAAGACAGCCACCTGCGGCAGATATCTACAGATTTTGTCACCGACCGACATATGTCAGGTATTGTCTCAAGAGACAAAGTTGTCAGACTCAGGCTGATTGCAGCCCGCCCCACTCGAGTGGGGGCACAGGTCAAAAGATGCTCGCTGGAACCCATTCCCAACCCTCCTCTCTCACTCATCTGTTTCTTATGCCTACCTCATCCCAAAATTCGCTTTCTCCCACTCTCACCTGTTCCTTATGCCTGTTCCTCTCCTGCTGCAGCTGCGCGGTACACTCTGCCCGTACGGCCGCCACCGTCTCCTGTGTCCTCTCACAGAACTCATCCAGAGTCTGACCGGCCGGGATGGCTACACCGTAGTCGGATAGTTCGCCCCGGCAGCGCTCCACGGCGGCGCGGTAGAGATGCTGGGGACGGTGAGACAGTGGGGTGAGACATGGCTTAAACGAAGGGCTTGATTATTATGGTAAGAAAAAGCGATTTGAACAGCTGAGCTTGAACTTTGAAGTAAGGGATATTTTATGCAATAATAAAGCTAATTCTCATTCCATAAAATTTGTAATGATAAAAACAAACAAATAACTACAGAGTCTGACAGGATAATCCGCGATGGCACATAATTTCAAATGATCCTCGTGTCTTACTGACGATAAAACATAATTGCTTATGACCTGGATGATCATGATCCATTACCGATGTTCTATTCTACCATCGACGGTCCGGTCCGTCACAAATATCCCATTCCGTTACTATCGATTCAGTTCATCACTAAAAACCGTTCCTTTACTACGGAACCCATTATGTTCCAACCCATTCATTCCATTACACACCACCCCATCCCATTACCTGCAGCTCGGCCTGGTCGCTCGCCGACGCGCCCTCTCCGAAGAACACGGCCAGGGCGCTGTCCCGCTGAAGACTGGTGTCCAGGGGGACGGCGCGGTCCCCGGCCGGGTCCTCCTCGATAATCTCCAGAGTAGCGTCTGAGCCGGATTCGTCCTCGTCGCTGATCACGGAGAGGTAGCTGAAACATGGGGAGAAGGGTAGAGTTAGAACAGAGTCAAGAGAGGTAGCTGTGGTATAGAGAGGGGGTGGAGTTAGAACTGAGATGCAATGTCGGCGGCACCACACTCATCGGCAGATTCTGTGAGGGGAGGTATTTGCCTCTCTCGTATCGCTTGAAATTGACGAAATTTCGAGTCTGTATAGCTGAGAATCTGTGCCAAGCGAAATACAGTTGAAACAGATGGCATTATATTATATTTAAAAAAAATTATAATACGAATGCAGCAAGAGCGACCATTCAACTGTTCCAGATCGACTGCAGTCTTCTATTCAGGTCGTCATAGCGAAGGTAGCTCATGCATCCTATTTTTTCGATGCCACTTAAAATTGCGATGCTTTGACTGCAAGCGAATCAATGCAGGTAACTGATATAAATATATCGTTGAGTGGAGAAACATAAAACAAATAAGCCACCGATCTTCGCATTCTCTCCCCCCCCCCCATCCCCTCTCAGACTTAAATGACTGCGATGTTTTAGTTTAAGGGAAGCCCACACTACAAAACTCACCCGTCGACGATGGCCTTCTGAGCCACCACGTCCGCCAGCTCCGCCAGAAGTCTATCCGACTGGTCAGCCGGCGGGGGCGGCGGCGGTTCCGGCGCCGCCCTCAGACGCGCCAGCGCCGTCTCGTAGCGCTGACTGAGCGCCATGACCGCCTCCTCCATTTCAGCTCGGAGGCTGTCTGTGGCTACCGTGTACCTGATGGGAGAAGGTTTATGAGTACAGCTAGAGGGCTTTATGGGACGAGAGGAGATGTAAGGAAGAGAAGGACGGCTTTTTAGATAAGCGGGAGGATCGTTTGAAAACCGTAGGGGAGGAAGGCAGTAGGGCGCACGGTAGATAAAAGGCGGTTCATGAGGGCACCCGAAGGACTACGGGGAGGGTCTCGGGGACGATGGTGGGGTGCATATGATGGGACGGTTCAGGGAGAATGCAGGAGGATCGCTGATTCTGTTGTCGTAATCAGCCTGACCTATGCTAACCGAATATGCAATATTCATATCACCCACACTGCAATCTGCAACGGTATCGCGCCGACAAAAACACATGGTCTCGTGAATCGATTGAAAATACCATAATAATAAAGATGTACCCAAACGTAAACAAAGAAACATCAGCAAATGAAAACCTTGAGCTTAAAATAAACGTTCCGCAGAGACCCAGCGCGGGTAGCATGTCATCCACCACGTCCACCCCACTCTCCAACGTCCTCACCTGCGCTCGGCCAGCTGCTGCTGCGCTTGAACTAGCAGGAAGCAGTGCTGTCTGTCCACCTCCAAGTCTCGCTCGTATAGCTCCACGAACTTGAGCATCATGGTCGACATTTCGGCTTCGACCATCTCCTGAAGAGAGGGACATACGAAATAGAGCGAGTCAGGTGTGAGCATCATGGTCAACATCTCGACTGCGACCATCTCCTGAAGAGAGGAACATAGGGAGCAGCGCGTCAAACAATTCAAGTGACACATTCGAGCAACGTGGTCTATGTTTAAACCCGAGTCCTGACCATTTCTTGAATAGAGGAGCGCACAGAATGGGAAGTCGGTTACAAAATATTCGGCAGTATTCGGCAGTTCCCCCTCGACCATCTCAGCATTCTTGCTCTCGAGCTGCCGCAACCTTCCTAACCTCCAACCCCTACTCTCCCTTTGAGACGCTTTCATTAGAAGATGCTGGCGCGGACTGACGGAAAGCGGTATAAATAATTAACAAGCTTGCCCATAGTTACTTACGGTTAATTCACGAGTGTGATTATGAGAAACTAAACATTCAGCAAAGTGACACATTCGTCTGTATAATATCGTTACACCCACCTCTGTGATGGTGTTCTGGGCCATGTTCCAGGCGTCTCGAACCTTCTCCTCCTCCAGCAGCTGATCGTCGTCAGCTGGCGGCTGCTGACCGCCCAGCAGCGTCTCAGCAGCCAGGGACTCGGCAAGGCGGGACAGCTTGTCCGTCTTGAAGGCCGTCACTGCCGCTGTCACCTGAAGAGAAATAAACACGAGGTTGGAGGTGATGTGGTATCGTAGTCATGCTAAGAATCAACGCGAAAAGGCAGAGCAAAGGTTGGCAGAAGATCATACATTAGTCCTTTAACCGAACAGACCAGAGTCTCATGTCGGCAAACGTTTGAAATATCTGACATCTAAACTCAATCATTTTTTTTTTAACTGACATTCATTTCGAGTGAATATTCTGACAGCCACAACGATTACTTTGTCTGTTCTACGAGCATTTGTCTGCTGTTGTTTGACGCTTTGCCTAGGCTGTATCTGCAAACGGAGTGACTTATCATTTCGGTCTTCTGCTTGAAGACACCAACGTCTAAAAACCTGTCCCTGTTTCAACATATCGACGAGTAAGCCTCACCTCCTATTTCATCCGACCGACGTGGTAAGTCCGTTTCTACAGTTTGATTGGCCTATTGCCATGATACCTTCGTCTCTTAATTATTTGATCAGCCTCCATCCTCACCTCGGACTCCTGTTTAAGCAAGCTGTGATGCAGTCGCCTCAGCTGTCGGTCCTGTTGTACCGCCGGAGTCCTCCGCGCAGGAGCCGAGCTCCCCCCGGCTCCGGCTCCCGTCCCGGCTCCCGTGGGACGGAGCAGCGCCGCCGACTCCTCCAAGGAGCCGAGGTGTTCGGCCAGGAGCGACGAGAACGCCTCCACCATCTGTGCAGACGAAATTAAACTTATTAGAGAGGTCTTAAAGTTCTCGTGACAAGTAAGGCTACTTTCTTTGATGTTTCCTACAAGTGTCAATGCATTTGATTTATAGGTTCGCTAGGTAGCGTTTTGGATGTGTGATACTTGAATTAACACCACTGGTTTTATTCTAGAACTAACGTTCATGAAACAACAGCGAGCATAAAAAGGTAGATTTTCGGTAACGTAACTGTACAGCACGGCAGCGAGTCGCTATATCAGTCTTCAGAGTTCAGTGTATCGGTTTACAGTCCGAGATGGGTATGTGGTCTCTTTCTCTGCGTGACCTTTGTGCATCGTGCTGTGATCAATACATCATTTTGTGTCCTGTGCATTGGCCTGAAGTCAGTATTTTGATATGTGGTACTCAGCATGTCAGTCTGTGTAGCCTTGGCATTATCGTTGATGATGCATCAATCTTATGTCAGTCCGAGTATGTCTGTGTAATTGGTTTGTAGCAAATGTATAAATTTGTACTATCAGTAAATCGCTGCGTGGTAGACTTACCCCACTAGAGACATTCTCCACGCCTTCTCCGGTAGTTAGACGATGCCTCAGCGTCCCCACTCTCCGATGTGTCTCCAACAGTAGCTGCAGTCTCAGTCTCCGCTCAAACGGAGCTGGTCTCCCAGCCGCCTGTAGCGCCTCAGCCAGACACGCCAACACCACAGTCTGGTAAGCCAGCCTCTCTGCCGAAAGCCGCCGCCTTTCGGCAGCCGTCCACCGCCGCGCCGCTTTTAGCTGCGCCTGAGCCTGAGCCTGCTCGTGGGCTTTGCGGAGTAGGAGTTGCCGAACGCGCTCGACCACGGCGCGAATACCGTCGCTGGGCTGAAGGCGAGCTCCGGAGAGAAGAGAGACGGTATCCGAGAGACGGCCACACACCGAGGATATCTGAAAAAGGAGAGAGACGGGTGGTGAGACACTGGCGGCTACCACTACTATCAAACAAATCAGACTTAGCATCATTTTACCAGTCCAATGCTCATGGTTTCCGTTTTCAAATTAACATTCATTTCGTTGCATGCATATTCTTGCAGATGTATCCTTAACAAACCAAAGCAGGCAAGTGTTAGCTGGAGCACGGCAATTACATGTCTGATATCACCATCAATTCACGTCAGGTGATCTGCAAAAGCACATACATTATACAAACATGGCCTAATATCTTATGTTAGATGTCCATTGTCCGTGCATTATAGGTAGTCTGTCCAAATAAGCACTCACCTCTGGTATTTCGGTAGCCTGCAGCTCGCCCACACAAGTCTCCAGTTGTTCACGAACTTGGCGCACCAGACTCTGTTGAACAGATGGAAAAACATAAGTGCCCGGGAGATGATCGATGACCCAATATACTCTCGTCTCATCCAATGACATTTCCTACCATTATGATCTGCCACTGTCAGTAGCAAAGGAAACGAATCTGATCTATTTCAAAACATGTAGGATTCACGATCTTTATGAACAGAGTGATCAACTCTACATCAACCCGCAGACTGACTGCTTCTCTGCTAACACATCTTTTACGAAGGAAAATGACTATCGCACTCTCTACCATCACGCCAAAACGTAACCTGAGCCATAACTCAGCTAGTTAACAACTAAGCCCAGCCCCCTCTTTCTCCCCACTCCCCCTCTACTTCATTCCCCTCCATTTCTCCCTCCTCTCACCTCCAGTTTTCTCAGTCTCGTCCTCAGCTCTCCGGTCGGACGGTCGGGAGAGGCCGGCCTCAGTTCTGCCGACCTCGCTCGAACCTTTCTCACCGGAGCAGGTGAAACCTTCCTCACCGGAGCTGGCGAGCGACGCGGAGGCGAGGGCGACTTGGTGTTACGCGCTGCCACTCGCTGTTCTAGCGAATTAACACGCATTATTACTTTTAGAGAGTCCGAAGCTGTGGCAGAGTCCAAACTCTTCCGACGAAGTCGCCAGGCTTTGGTGGATTCCTCGAAACTTCGAGAGCGTCGCGCACGGGCTGGTTCGGCTGTGCCTGAGCCTGTGGCGGCGGCGGCGTCTGGTTGGCTTGACCGAACGCTTGTAGTGGCTTGATCGGAGGTGTTAGAAGCCTGAGAGGCACTACCACTGGCGGGCTTTGCTTCGATCGCAGTCTTGCCATCCCAGGCAGCCACACGCTTCTCCAATTCTGATAGCTTGGTCTCCAGTTCAGCAGGGATGCTGAAAGATTCGCGACCCTTCAGAGAAGATGTCCTGCGTCGATCCCTGGCATCGCCCTTGGCCAACTTTTGCTTCAGCTGACGCGCTTGTTTTTCAGATGTAGCCAGCTTGGCGGTCAAGTCCTGAAGTCTGTCCTTCATCAGGGCTGCTTCCGCCGCCTGGGCTTCATTCCTGTTTTCTAGCTGCTGCTTCAACCGAGCCGTTTCTAGCTCAGTTTGATCTTGTTGACCCTGCAGCTCCCGCAGTTGACGTTTGAGAGCTCGAATTTCCGCTACGGCCTTGTCGAATCTATCAAGTAGTGCTGAGTATTCGTCTTGTAGCTGGTCGCGGCCGAGGCTGTCGGTATCAGTGGTGACTCCAGCAGTCAAGTCGCTCAAAGAAGCTATACTGGCGATCTGGAGCTGGCGTCGTGAGGACATCCTTTCACGGGAGGTACCCAAAGAAGTACTCCCCGCTCTTGATAGACCCCGCTGTCCGCTGAGGGCTCTGACACGAGCAGACAGAGTCTCATTCTCCTCAATGCCCTGTTGGAGTCTTGCCTGAACCGACTCCATCTCCTGACGAACTTCGGCCAACTCCTGACGTGCTTCGGTAAGCTCCTGACGAGCTGCCTTTGCCTCCTTCCTCTGCCTTTCTAGTTCCGACGCTCTGTCTTCCAGCAGTGACCTCAACTCATGCACCAGATCTTTCAGCTTGTACACTTCTGACTTGTCCTGCTTGATGGCATCTCGAGTACTCTGTTGTGCCTCTAGCTCGGCTTTGAGTCGACGCATTTCTGTCTCGCGAACAGTAGCTTCTTGACGTAGTCCGGCAACCTCTTGTTGGCGTCCTTGCCGCGATGCCTCCAGCTGATCAGTTAGCTGACGAAGCTGCGTCTCTGCCTGACGTAGCTGCGCCGTCAACTGATGCACGCTACGATCTGTCTCTGCATGTGCGTCACTCTTCTGTCGCAGCTCATGAAGTCGTTGTTCGGCTTCATTCAACTGTCTCTCCCAATCAGCGTGATCGCTGAGGTAGCGTTCTTCAAGTCTTTCGTAATGTCTCCGCCATTGTTCACCATCCTCCACAGCAGCTCTGCTCGCCTGGAGTTCATCATACTGCCTCAGCAGCTGGTGGTATCGCCTCTCTACTTGCTGAAGCTGCTGAACCTGGTCCGTCTGCTCCGCCAGCTGCCTCTCCTGATGTTGCAGCCGCTGAAGTAGCTGACTCAGCTGATGTTCTAGCGAGGAGGCACGTCCACGCCATTCCGCTAGCTCTGTAGCATGTCCAGCCTGTTCTGCGACCGCTCGACGAGCTTGGCGTTCGGCCTCGGATCTGTCGGCCTCTAGGACGGCGATACGTTGACGGAGTCGACTCAACACCGGGTCGTGGCCACCGGTAGACGGCTCGGTGGGCAGGGTGCGCAGGGAAGAGCGCAGCTGGAAGGGACGGAAGGGGGGGGGGGGTCAGACGGTGACTGGCGGGATTGGGGCAAGCAAGGGCATAAGGGGAGAGGTGAAATGCGCTTTACACCCCGATTGACAGAATGACGGAGGGTATATTGTCTCAAATAACTCGTCTAGAAAAGGTACGAGCATACCAGCACACCTGTAAACGAATTCGAGGTTCGCAAGAAAGATGTCTCGCAGCTGAGTTGAAGGCATAATTTTTTAAAAGTTATGAATAGAGCCAAACAGGCAACATTACTTAATAAGCCCCCGTATAAACGCAGCATAACACACTGCAATTGAAAGTATGCCCATTTAAATTGAAAACAGAGCAACCCCATGCAACGACCAAGTGCTAGCTTTGACACAAACATTAAACTTATATACCTATCATGAATCCCGACCCACAGGAAATAACCCATTGCCTTCAATCTGACCCCACCACATTCTTCCCAGCGCACCTTGGACCGGTCGAGGCCAGCAGTGAACGGTTCCCTGTTGTCCTCCAGTCGGCCCGAGTACAGACTATCCGAGCGCAGAGACGAGCGGAGAGACTCCTGAAACGAAAACACCAATTGTTAGAGCACGGGGAGGTTGAGGAGAGGCTTCGGGAGCCAGGTGGCTGAGGTTTAGATGCCAGGTATGATAGGTGATCTAGGTGGATCCTATACGTAGGGCAAAGTTTGTCATTCCATTTATGATCTCGGGTTGATGATTTGGTGTATGTGGCGCACCAACAACGAAGCTGGGGTTGATGCCACGTCAATGTTCATTGCTCAGGCACAGCAGCAGCCAAATTGGTATAGTGCCGTGGCCGGTGGCTATCCGGATTCCCAATCCAACGTCTCGTTACGCATAACGCAGAACACATGCGACAAGATAACAGTGTGCCAGCGTGACAGCCGTGATGTCTCCGTGACGGTAAAGCACCGTGACATTGGGACGGGAGATATCTTTCAATGACAGTGACACATCTCAGAACGTTGCCGGCGCGACGATCACGGCATGATAGGCAATGCCTCCGTGACTGCGACAGTATAGCGATGATACTGAGTTCACGATGACTGTGACATATATCCGTGACGCTTTGTCTGTATTGGGGATGGAAAGAGAAGAGAGAAAGCGGAAGGACTGGGACCAAATTGTGATGACGTTGAGCACCCTACAGCCTCATTAGCCTAGCGCGTGATTAGGGAGATAAACTTTAGCCGGATTTCAGCTAACTTAGCGTCATAGAGGCTCAGCTTCATCTGCATTCTGCATGAAATATCGCACATAACTATCATAGGAGTGTACGCACACACTGCTGTATCATCAATGCCTCATTTACCATAGTGTATTTACAACCTACAAATCGCGCAAACTAATGTTATCAAAATTGCATTAGGCATTGATTATACCGTAAGTATTTGTCAGTACAACCCCAAGCCAGGACCCTGCAGTTATAGCCGCAATCCAGCACAATACACCACACAAAAATATCGTAGTTATCGTACATCTCGGCGGCAGCAACTGACCGAAACTGATAAGCAGCGACCCGTTACGGTCCCATTTCCGGTCATATCAGTGGTCACTGTACGGACCAAGACGCATCAGCCCATATCCTGTGACATAGATAACATGAATCCTGTGATAGTTACGATATAATCGTGATCATCCGCTGGTAATGATAACGGTGTGGTCAAGATCATCTGGAAGAAGTGGACGGACGAATTTTGGTAATGGTGATCGTCCGGTAGTGATAATAATGATGACATGAGCGTCGAGTAAAGATTTCGGTGTTCACAATAACTGTGAATGGGCCGAGCGGTGGCAGGTTGAGTATTTTCGTGACTGTATCAGTATGCTTTCGTGACTGTACCGGTATGCGCCGGTGGAAGCAGCTAGGCAGGCAGCGAGCGAGAAAGAACCATACCTTTCCGATCGTTTCCCGGATAATGGTCGGTCCGACAGAACGGAGAGACGGAGATAGAGGGCAAGGAAGGAAGGGAGGGATGGAGGGAGGAATGGAGAGAGGTAGAGAGAGAGAGAGAGAGAGAGAGAGAGAGAGAGAGAGAGAGGGAGGGAGAGAGAGAGAGAGAGAGAGAGAGAGAGAGAGAGAGAGAGAGAGAGAGGGAGAGGGGGCGAGAGATATGACGCAAGGAAGACAAGTTATGTACTACCTAATGGCAAAATCTTAGCATGAACAATTAAAAAATATGACTGAATAACCAAAGCAGCATTCATGCCCGGTCAAAAATATCCCAAACAAACCATCAAACAAACAAATCAAACCAACCCAACCACAATGATAAGCAAATCAATCCAAGCATATCTTCCTTTCAACGCCGGCTGCCCCGCGCTGAGCCGCCGCCGCCGGCGCCTCGGGCCATCTCGTTCCGGTCAGCTGACAAAAGAGAAACCGTGGGGCTACGAGCGGCGGCGGCGGCAGCGGTTCGTGAGAGCGCATACGGCTGGGTCGCACGGACCTGTTCGTCCCACCGACCTACTCCCGATACAGCCGAAAACGGCCCAGAGTGGGACGAGATGTGGGGTGGGTCGGTTTGGAGCTGGATGGATGGAGGGAGGGGGATATAGATGTGTCACCGTGATAGGCGAAATGAATCCGAGGAAAACGTCGCAAAGTTCACCACAGAAAACGTCACAGGCTCCATAAAGTTAACATGGAAAAGGTCATAAACGTTACAAAGTATCCATGAAAATGTTGCAACTCTCAAAAAGTAAGTATGAAAAAACGTCAAAATGATTCCGGGTTATATAAGCATCGGACAGCGTTTTGAGCACACGACTGGATAAAAGAAGATGGGAAAGAAACCTTATGAGGTATTACGTAAGCGATTCGACGTGAGTAAGCCCGAGAGGTGAGACACAATGTTGGAATGTCAGGGTATAACCTAAACGGACAAGCTGACGACTGCAAGAAGAAGAAAGAGATTAAGGAGAGAGAGAGAGAGAGAGAGAGAGAGAGAGAGAGAGAGAGAGAGAGAGAGAGAGAGAGAGAGAGAGAGAGAGAGAGAGAGAGAGAGAGAGAGAGAGAGAGAGAGAGAGAGAGAGAGAGAGAGAGAGAGAGAGAGAGAGAGAGAGAGAGAGAGAGAGAGAGAGAGAGAGAGAGAGAGAGAGAGAGAGAGAGAGAGAGAGAGAGAGAGAGAGAGAGAGAGAGAGAGAGAGAGAGAGAGAGAGAGGAAACACTGGTCTGAACTTGTCCGAACTCCTATTCCTTGTGCCCTCTGCATGCTCTCGGTCGTCCCAATAGCGTAACCGGCACCTCCCGACCCATCCATGACCTCTCAAATCCGCTATGAGCAGCCACCAATGGCCGACAAGACCAGCACGCTTGGTTAGCAGTCCGAAACATATGGCACACTTGAACGCATGGTGACGGGCGATAAACGCACCAGAACAAAACCACTGTGCACCGCCGCTCAGGAATGTAACGGGGACGAATAAGGAATTTACTGGTGCACAGTGGAACTCATCGATATACATATGCACAAACGTTTTACAATTGCATTAGCCATCTGAGCACCGAATCTGGGAGATAACTGAACCTTCACAATTGACTTATTTTGAGCCATTCACTTAAAGGGACCCTCCCACCTTAACATTAGATTTGAGTTGAGATAGCCAAAATGGGGTCCCTGGCTCACAATTACCGGTTTCGGCACTCACAACATCGAGAAATGCCTTAAATCGGAAATATTGAATTTCAAAATTGCAGCATTTTGATTCAGAGGGGCTAATGCTTAGGAATACCCCTCTGAATGTGTGACGTCAGCGCAAATATCTAACGATTTTTAAATGTTTGACTAAAACGTTTTGTAGCACGCGGTGGTATATGCTATTTGCGCGCAACATCTGCCGCAAACGCCGCACTTCTAAAATAAAGTCGCTAGAAACAGCGGAGATCCCAAAAAAGTAAACAAAAGTAAAAGTCTAATATCTTGAAAACCGGTGAATATTTTTCGGTGAAATTTGGTAGATATTCGTTTTCGATCTTTCTGAACCGAGCGACATCACTTTCATGCCAATTCATAAACTTCTTTGAAGGTGGGAGGGTCCCTTTAAGGGAAGAAAATTAAAACGCATCACATTAAAACGTCGCTGCGATTTTTTTTTATACCTAAGAATATCAAAATGATGCAATTTAGTCGAAAATTGCTGAAGCATGCTGGCGTAGCGTAGCTTTGATAGCACAACTTTTGTTCAAACCCGTGCCTTTCCTGTAACAATCGTTACACCGGAACCACCCACTATACCAGCTGTGACGAACCGTGACAGGCGCACCGGACATATAGACACGGTCGAGCGCTTGCCGCCCCTCCCCCGCGAGCGGCGTGGCGTGTGGAGGGGGAGGGGGGGGGGGCAACGGGCAACGGAACGGGCAACGAGAGAATGTGAAACGGAAGCATGGGAGAGGGTAAAGATAGGTGAAAACAAAACCTGGCAATTCTGCATGAGAGGTCTGGCCGAGACGAGTAACAGTTGGAGAGATAGACTCGAATACGATATCAAAATTTGGAACTTCGGGTCCTTTGGGTGGGAAGTGGGAACTGACGCCTGTACCGTTTTCGGTGACATGTCGTTTCGTGGTCCTCGTCCGTAAATGTAAATCGAACTTTCAAATCCACTCGTGACTCGTGCCTCAACCTTGTCGTGAAGATAAAGAGCCGTTCGAAGTTTAATGTTCCTAAGCCACGCCATATCCCTTTAATCGTGACGTTTATGCTGCCTTTCACTCCGATTAACAGCAAATCAGAACACCCAACCTACACCACACCACACTACCAGCCCCGAAAGAGTCACTACCAGGCCCCGGGGCGGTTCAGATACGTTCGTGCCCTATTCGCTACATACCTTCGGATTATGCGCCGGCACAAGAGGTGCACGCTGTGTCCACGGCACGCCGGCCATAATGCGACGTCACGATGTCACAAAACGTCACACAACGTCACTTCAGCTCCACAATAGCCCCCTCACGTCAGTCCGTCACATCAGCCCGAAGCTTTGGCTCCGACTGACAACGTCTTGCCACCACAGGTCTCTCACAGACAATGGCGTCCAGACACTTGAGCCGACGCCTGAACGGGATCCGTCGGAATCCACCTTTCAACACCCGTGACTCATGACCGGATATCTTCTCGTGATCACAGATGGCTCGTGAGTCGTGATCACGGATGACTCTTGATCTCGAATGACTTGTGAACGGATATCTTGTGATCACGGAAGACTCGTATCACCAAGTCACGACCGGATATCACTCAGACCAGACACGCTCACTAGTCCGTAGACCATAGACTACATGGACCACACGGACCATACGGACCACCAAACGAACCATACGGACCGGCCGCGGACCACCACGGACCACGCGACGCGCCCGGCCGACCGCACACAACTGCCGGCTTGCCGGCGCGGCGGACCGGCCGGCTCACTAGCCACGGTAGAGCGACCGGTTTTCACCTGCGCAGAGGCCGGCCTCCGGCGCGGCGGCCGGGTGACTGACTGACTAGACTAGGCGGGCGGGCCGGCTCAGGGGCTCAGGTGGGTCTAATAGGCTGAGAGGAGGGACACAGGGACCCAGGAGGGTCTAGTAGACTGATCGAGTGGATCCAACGGCCCAGGAGGATATAGTAGACTGAGCGGGAGAACCCATGGGGCCCAAGGAGGGTCTTGTAGGCCGGACGGGCTGGCTAATGGGCCCAGGAGGGTCTGGTAGATTGAGCGGGAGGACTGAGGGGGCCCAGGAAGGGTTTGGTAGACTGGGCGGTGGACCAAGGGGACCCTGGAGGGTCGAATAGACAGAGCACAGACCCCACAAACCCTGACTACTGTAGCTTTACCTGGAAGACCAAAGGGACAAAAGGGTATAGCTGACTTGGCGAGCCAATGGGCGGACTCAGGGGCCAAGGAAAGTTAGTATCTTAGCTGGAACTTCTGGAAGATTTTAGGGCACAATAGGTCTAGGCTGAGCAGACGAACCAACGAGATCCCGCCGAATCAATGGCTAGGCCAGAAGGGTTCGAAAGTCAAAGGGTCTAAGAGACTGAACGGACCGACCTCACGAGTCAATGTCCCGGGGGCATTGCCGAGACAGGCCAGATGACCCAGAGGCCAGCGGCCACTGACAGACTAACTAAGCGGGAGGACCTTCGGCGGTCCTCATCGAGGGAACGGCTCTGACTACGGCTAATCGGTCTGACGTCGGTCGCTAAAGCGAGCGGACGTTACTGAGTGGGTGTGGCTGGGGGGGGGGGGAGGGTTCCGGTGCATACTCTTTGTGTGTGCGCGCGTGTGTGCGTGTGTGGATATGAAAGTTACAGCTGATCCAGCAATGACAATAGCGACAGTGGGTGCATTCAGACTTCATTAAACACTTTACGGGAGGCAGCATGGTAGACTATCTTTTGATGTATTATACCGAACAATGCAGGATTGGATTTACCATTATCATATCGCCAGCAAGGGTACCATTGCATTCGTATAACGTCTTCAATAGAAGTTCCTTCGTTATGTGAAAACCTGAAACACTGTGCACCTGGTGTGGAGCAATGACGCTCGGACAGCGCTTGGCTCGAGGTCAGTGCCTTGATTATTAAAATTAGATCGCTTCGGTTAGCGAGTAACAAGCAGATTGAAAATGCTTTCATAACATACCATGTCGACCACTACGCTACATTCGCAATTCAAATGAAATGCATATTGCATACAGTCGTAGAAAGGGTAGGGCGGACGCAAGGTTGTTACCAGGATTTAGGGAAAATTTCGACGGCTGTTGATCAATTACGAATGAAGAAAGGGTGTAAAATGTGAATATCATTCGTAGCGACATTTACCGGCCCGTACCGGGGCAAAGGACAGGACGTTTTACGCCTCCGGTCCTTGTTGCTCCCTCGTTAGTATCGTGTTGCCGTTTTTGAGACACCTTACCTATGGTTTTTCACACCACCTCATTTTGACACACGTCATTTACGCACATAAGAAAAATTCAGACCCAAGTAATGCAAGGCCAGGTCACATCAAGTGTCACATCAAGTGTCACCAGGCCACCTCAAGATAAATTTAACCACTCACCATAGCTACACCGGCTAAACGATTGATTCAAAACTTTTGGCGATCAATAATTGTAGCAAGTTGTTTAAAATGTTTATTTCAGGAGCCGAGTTAGATGGTGAAAAACGCCCCCCCCCCCTCCCCCCACACGCCCTTTCATATGTTACTATCGGGTCTCTACTCTAGCACGGTTTGATCAAATGCACTGCTGCAGGTTCCTGCTCTGTCGTCTTAACTTCGCTGGAAGTATCTTTTTCTGAATTGTGTTTGTTTCGCAGCATAATAGCCGTTTTTACGACGGGCTTTCCGGCGAGTGCACCTGATTTGACCAAATCTGCACCTTATCTCTTTTACAGCAAATATCTTTATTTTATGAATTTATTTCAGTGTTTTAATCGAACTCTCTGATAATATGACAAAGCAGGCATATAAGCAGTTAGTGCAATTCTAGCTGATAGCTACTAAGAGACACACTGAAGCTGATTTGACCAAATCTGCACGTGATCTGCACCTGATCTACACCAGATGTGCACCAAATGTGTACCAGATGGCCGTCGTGAAAACGGCTAATATGCGATCGATTTTTTGTTTTTGCTGTGCGTCAAACAGCTTAAAACTGAAAAATCACTCATCGTCCGATAAAATTCATATCAATTCAAACATGAGTGTGTGGTATAGGGGAAGATCTCAACATTCACTGGCCCTCTCCTCAGTGTCTAACATGTTGGCTCACTTCCACAGGAACAGGCCACGTCTATTATAACCATGCAAATGAAGGTAGGAAAAGAAAGCCCACACTGTAAAAAAAAGTTTAGCACCAATGTCAAAAACCAGCTCCTGTACCGGCTATTTTAAGCACCCTAAATGGGTGCAATCATTTAGGGTGCTTAAAATAAGCCGGTACAGGGAGCTACTTTTCGAGATGGGTGTTTAACTTTTCTTTTCAGTGCAGGCACCTGATTGATTTAAAAACTCATGATTGTACTTACCCTGCCGAGTCCCCAGGAACGTCTGAAAGGCGACACTTCAGCCACTGTGGACTGCTTCGGCTGCTGCTGCTTTTGTTGTTCCTCTTGCCGCTGCTGAAGATTACCTTGCTGCTGCTCTTGCTGTTGATGTTCCTCCTCCTGCTGTTTAGGTTGATCTTCCTGCTCGGTTGTTCCCAGCCGCTGAGTCTGCTGCTGTTGCTGACGATTGTCTGTTCTTTGCAATGGCGCATGTTGTCGCTGCAACGGCTCATGTTGTCTCTGCGACAGCGGTACTCGCTGCTGAGATTCCTTCTCTTCACACTCCTGTTGAAGCTGCCCTGCTAGCTGCTCTTGTAGCTGCCCTTGTTGCTGCCCTTGTTGCTGCTCTCCTTCAACATTTACACCCTGCATTGCCTCCTGATCCGCTGACTCAGTCGGGGTCTCTACAGGTGATCCGAGCTCCTCAGGAGTCGGGAACTGATCCAGGGTGCTGCTCCGTGATCCGTCTGGTGAGGAACGAGACCGCTTGGTGGAGCGAGAGCTGCTGGAGGAGCGAGAGCGAACCCGATCTGGAATGGAGGACAGACGTCACGGTTAGATGACGGGCGGAGCAGCTATGGCACGGCAACAATGAAAACATCGGAGAAAGGTGCGTGCCCTAATTATATGTCATGTCATATAAACCGGGCAAGAATCGAAAAAATAGTGTTTGCCTTACACGTATATCGATTTATCCATGCATACCAGCTGTTATACCAATCGATACATGTTCAGCCAACAAAGATCCACAACAAATATCCATAAAAGCTAAAACATCTTGAGGATTTCCCCAGTCAAGATGATGTTCATAGTTACCAGGAACATGCTAGGTAACGTTTTAACCTAAGCGGAGCAATTGAAATACCAGAGACCAGCACCGGCGATGCATATAACAACGAGCAGCACTGAGCAAAACTCACCTTTGGTTCGAGTCAGTGACCCCAGTGATTCTGGCGGTGAGTCGGAAATCTTATCGGCCCGCTCCCCACCACTGCCGTCAGAACTCTCAGAGGCCGATCGACAGGAGTCGGTAGACTGTGGCGCCGCCTGGCGGCCGCTAGACGGCGCCACCATCGCTGTGTCGCGCTCGGCGGTGGTATACAGTGGGCGCCTGTTGGAACATAGGAGGTTGTGTAAGAGTTGGGCAGATACCGTGCTAAACAATACATGTCATGAGCTATACATTGAAAACATAGCAAAGCTTTATGAAAGTACTTTCCAAAGACGTCATAGATTTGTCATTTTCGAGCTCAACTGAAACAGGGTTTAGCAAAATAGCCTACTGAAAGTAAATACAACTCAACCTATAGCAGTCTAATTGGGGATACAATATCTGTATACAGGTCTTTGACAGACAAATATGCCCGGGACACTTATACACAGACGGATAGACAGACGTATGGACCGAAAGACAGGCCGACGGGCCGACAATCACACAGGCAGCCAGCCTGACAGGCACACTAGGAAGCAGCCCCACACATGGCAGATACACTACACCTTTCTCTCCTGACTTTGGATCAGACAGATGGTGGCCATTCTCACCTGGCCGTGTCCAGTTGCCGCTCCAGCCGCTCCCCCAGCGACAGACGGTGGTCCGAGTCAGACAGGTGGGCGGCGCTCCGCAGCGCCTGGATCCAGTTTCCGCGGATCCCGGAGGTCATTGCTGACAGCTGGATACGGGTTCCGTCCCACGTCTGAGGGGAAATGGAGCAAAGGAGACGCATGAGTTATAGGGATGTGCACAAACATTGTACGGCTCACCCCGTGAAGGAGCCGCTCGCTTGGGATGAACGATTATTTGACTCAATAGCAATATTTATTTTAAATTGCAATGTATCATGGTACCTAGCCTCAAGCACTTCCAAGTCTCATCAACAAAAAGGAAACGCCTTTAGGGAAAGCGAATTGACCCAGACCATATAATATATAAATATAATTAATTTCGGTACTTTTACGCGCATTATCCGAAATATTAAATAATCTTCACTAGCTCAATTCCTAAACTACCATTAACTTTGTTCTCCTCAAGGCCCAGGAGACCCAGTTTGTTCTACATTTCGTCTCCCTATCATTTGGTATCTGTATTATTATCTGCCATCACCGAGGGCTGAACTCGTATATATTTTCCTCCCGGCTCCCCCTTACCGTGATCTGGAAGCCGTAGTTTTTCTCAGTCTCACACTCCTCGACCCACTGTGCGCCGTTCAGGTCAATGAGGCCGTCGGTGACATTGAGGTCCTCCGCTCCCGTGTCTCGGTATAAGATGAGCGAGGTGCCTCTCAGGACGAACCAGTGTTTGGCCCACGTCTGTGAAGGACAGGGGAAACATCAAATGAGTTGCAAATCATAAGTGAGCATATCAGTAAAACGCAGAACAGAGCTACCTTTTGTAGGTACGGGACGCTTGAAACCTGTAGGAAGAATCGACGGGCTGGACGAAAATTGCCATAAGCAAGCGACATTTAACGTTTACATTGTATCAATTTTACACGACAATCACTTGCGCGCAGAATATCACAGTGTAAAAAATGGTTTGCTTGGCTTTGACGTCTCAATTGTGCTGATTGCTCTGCGGACAAAAAAAAATAAATATACGCTCTTGGACATAATTGGCAGCGGGCAAAAGCGAGTTCCCATGTTTTGACGATATCAGTTGAATCATGAATCCCGACATTCGTGTGCGCCACTAAATGTGCCCGCTTCTCTACGTTTCTACGTCCTCCGCGTTCTGACCTTTTTCTCGGTGAGCTTCATCAGCCATCCCTTTTTGATCCTGAGCAGTTCCTCTGCCGGCAGGTTGACCCGCAGCTCCGTTGTGTCGCCGCCGCCGACCACAGCGTCACCGGCGTCCTGTCGGGAAACGGAGAAGCATGCAATGTTAGTGAGGTAATTGAGAGCTCAGGGGTTTGGTGTAAATTTTCAATCGAAGGTTGTTGAATGTTGCTGACAGTGCCAGGTCCGCCACTGGTTCCCTAGTGCAGTAGTGCATTGATTGTCTGAAATGGGCAAAAGACGGTCCCCCGGCCATTGACAATGCCCTTTCACGTAGGTGCTATTCATTAGTGCGCCCCTTGTATTTCATGCCGCCATCCGGGTGCACTTCTCACTGTCTCACAGCTCTCTATAACGCGGAAATTAACATTGATATAGCGCTACATTTCGGTTTTCCAGTCATATCTAGTCCAGTAATTAACCACTTGATTGTCCCCTGGCATTCACTGACAGTCTACTGATGGTCCCTGGATGATCCTCTGATGGTCCCCTGGTCCAGTGAAGGTCCCCCAGACCACCCACTACACTCACGGGTCTGTCGGTGCCAATGACGACATCGGACGGTGGGGTGGCGGACCGACCCACCGACGAATCGTCGTCGTTCTCCCGAGTCGGCTTCTCGTCAGCTGACTGAAGCTGGAGGGAGGGAGAGAGGGGAGAGAGAGAGAGAGAGAGAGAGAGAGAGAGAGAGAGAGAGAGAGAGAGAGAGAGAGAGAGAGAGAGAGAGAGAGAGAGAGAGTGAGAGTGAGAGAGAGAGAGAGAGAGAGAGGGAGGGAGGGAGGGAGGGAGGGAGGGAGGGAGAGAGAAGCGGGTAAGATGTACGCATGTGATTGGGTGAAAAGGCATCCAATCGACGTGAATTGACTTCAGAGTCATACGTCCCCGGTGCTTCGAGAGGTCACTTCAGATATGGTTACGAGCGAGCGAGCGCAGCGAGCGAAGCGAAGTCTTTTCAATATAACGGAAAAATCTCAGCATGAGCGGCCCGGCCCGGCCCGGCCTGTAACGCTTTTGAGAGGCTTATATCTCAGCAACCGCTGGACCGATTGGCCTGCGGTCTTTTTTGCTGGGTAGCCCCATCCCTTCTACTCCGTAATTGACTACTTTTGATACACCTCAGTGACCGTCGTGGCACGTGCCACGTGAAAAGTCAAGGATGTTCAAGCTGTTTTACAAAAGTAGTGATTTTGAAAGGCGTATATCTCAGCAGCCGCTTGGGCGATTGACTTGCGGTAATTTTTGTAGGGTAGCAGGCAGCATCCCTTCTACCAAAAAATAGGATACCTACTCTCGATGCATGTGGGTCACCCCCAGTGCATGTGCAAAATACAACAATAAGAGGTGTCAAATTTGTTCCCATTTTAATAACTCGGTAATTACTGGGGCGATTTCGCTGAAACTTGGCATACAGGTAGGCACCCACCAGGCAATGCATTCCCATGTGTTGCGGTTAAGGTGCTACTGCACGTGCGCACGTGCAGGGGGCGCTTCCAGATCTCGAGAACGGCTGGGCCGATTGCGCTCAAATTTGGTACACGGTTGGGGACCAGTTAGTAGGGTGCCGTGCAAAAGTCAGTTTGGACCCCGTTTGCACGTGCGCACGTGCAGAATGCCGCTTCCAGATCTCAGGAACGGCTGGGCCGATTGCGTTCAAATTTGGCACACGGCTATCGACCGGTTAGAAGGGTGCTTTGCGCAAGTCCGTTGGAAGTACCCTCTCGCCCTTCCGCACGTGCAGGGCTCACTATCTCGCTCGCTCGTTCTTCGCCGAAAAGGCGTTTTACTGGTACGTTAAATTGTTCTTTGTATCATTTTTTTATATTGATAAACAGGTTGAACAGTCACAGAATCTATGTGGCCGTCAAAACTCGAAACAAAGGTTTCACCTGATGCCACCCTTTCAAACACAAGTTCCACAATATAAGTCCACCGTTCCATGCTTCTATCCTCAGGATACTGAAATCCTTCTCCTCCACACCGCCACCCCCTTCCGGGCTGGACAGGCAACTTTATCTCATGCGGGCTGCTCCCTTGGAGCGGCACCGCTGCTCCCGAGGGAGCGCACCCCGTAGCCGGGTGCAGTGAGTGCCTTGGGGCTGGGTGGCCTGTCTTCGGACGGGCTCAGCCCCGGCGACTCACTAGGGTGCCTGCCCAGACCAATGTCTCCCCCTATATCCTATCATCCTCCCGGCTCTGAAATGGTCTTACTGGACCGAAAGGGCCTAACCCAACAACAACAACAACAACAACACAATATAAGTGTCCAATGCTACCTGTCGGTCTTACCTTGCTGTGCTCTATACTCTGCAGGAAGGAGAGAGTCCGAGTGGGCCTGGGTCGAGTCAGAGAGTCAGCGATGTCCTTCAACTTCTCCTCCCGCCGACTCGAGTAGTCAGCCAGGTCACCGCCGTCCTCTGAAGAACAGGACGCATGAGATGGTCAAACCGTGCACAAGATAGTGGTCCGACATGAAGTAGTCTGAGTCAATCGGCAAAATGCATCGATATTCAGTCATCCAAGCGGCTAGTTCACACCATGGGTACCCCTGAACAATTTAAGAGAAAATAGATAAGCAAACGCTGATGTCGGAGGCATCGAGTAGCACAAAACTCACAACATATCGAAGGCACAGAACATGATCCTTTTATTGAGCTTTAGTAAAACGAACCACGGACGAAGCAGCATTTCTGCCACTCATTATACTGCATGTCCCTTCTCCAATCCTCATGCCAAGTAGCATAATGAATTTAGCCAGTGCAACTGTTTACCTTGTTTGCCGGTAGATGTCAGTCTCGCAGAACCGCTAGAGTCCGTCGCGTCCAGGCTGTCCGTGATCCTCTGAGGCTGCTCCTCTTCATTCAGGAAATTCTGTAAAAAATTGTCTTGGTGAGTAATATAGCTTCACAAGGGCGTGTACTAAGAGACATTCTAAGTAAATGCCCTCCGAAGTAGATATTTTATCGATGAATTCAATGACCTCGCAATGTTCAACCAACAAGGTTCACTATTCAGTGTAAAATCGTACCAAGTGACCAACAACTGCTGAAAACAAGCTCAAAGCAAGTTCCGAGACCTATTTCACTAAGATCGACAGTTTTACCCAGACTGGCAAAATACCGACAGAGTGTCCTACCTGGCTGGAGCGGCTGGTGCTGAGTATTTCGGCGATGGTATCGGCCGACTTGGCTCGTCCCTGTCGGGTCTGACGGGCCAGTTTGGCAAGTCGTCGGGTCCGACAGCGGTCCTGGGTCGGCGGAGACTCGGAGGAGGCCGGTAGCGGGTCCGCTGAGGGGCACAGACACGAAAATTGGTTATCATCCGATCCAAACTATAGTTACACGGGGGGAGGCGCACAGGGTTGCACATGCACGGACATAAGTTGTCGTCCATGTACAGAGACAAGTTATCATTCAGCCAAGTTTCGGTGTGTTTGTGGGGGGAGGGGATCCACTGAGGGTTAAAAATGCATGCATCGGTCATGACCTAGCAGCTGAGACTCGAGGAATCAGTCTGGTGAGGGCTGGGAACACAGATACTGCCCATAAAACTGCCGAGACTCAGGGGGGCTCGGGAAACAGCCGAGACTCAGGCACGGATACTGTACCAAGATAAACTGAGAAACGCTGACACAGTATCTGCTTCGGGGTATATACAGCATGCATGTGGCGTTGCTTGCACTTGCAGAAACTGACAAACCCGAAGATGCACTCACATATACAATGCAAAGCGAGATTTTCGTTGAACTTTGTAAGCATGAGGAGATGTGCTACGACAAATAAGGAATGCGTGAGACAATGCCTTGCCTTGATGATGTAACAGCGCTGTCACCGCAACGGTGGGGATTGCTAACACTACATGCCAAGTTGAGGGCGTCTGAGCGATACTTCGTCTGCAGTGACTACGCACGTTGTACCGCAATATATATCCATCCACGCCAATTTCCAATATGTAGTGTTATCAGTTTCCCACCGTTGCGGTGACAAGCGCAAAGGTCGTGATATCAAGTGTAGATGATATGACATCACAGAAACCATGTAAAGACACAATACGACTGCATCTCCACCAGAAATTTCACCGACCTGTAAAGAGCCGGAGAGCTACCGGCTCTATCTATACAGTTTAATAAGTCTACTCTAGAGCTTCCCGCCCTAGCAAAACTGAGAGCTCTCTCAGACTTGCTATCATTAGCTGATCTCACTTACCGTCATTGGCTGGTTGAGCCGCCCCCGGAACCGGTAGAGGCTCACTGGCCGGTGGTCGATTCTCTTTAGCTGCAGGCTGGACCGAGGGTCTACTCTCCCTCGGAGGGGGCTGGGCAGGGGGCCGGGCGACAGGCTCTGACTGACAACTCATCAGACGTCGTCGGCTGACGGGGGGTGTTTGGAACGGCTCGGCACCTGGAGAAGTGGTGATGCAGGGTTAGACGATAGACAAGACAGTGCCATTGATTCATTTTGATTATTATTTTGATTATTTTGATTGATTCTCACGCAATGATGCAATTGTTATTGAGCCATTCATTCATTCATTCATTCATTCATTCATTCATTCATTCATCCATTCATTCATTCATTCATTCATTCATTCATTCATTCCTCCATTCATTCATTCATTCATTCATTCATTCATTCATTCATTCATTCATTCATTCATCCATTCATTAACTAATGCGCTAGTTCAATGATTTCTTTAGCCACCCATTGATTCATTGATTCATTCATTAATTTACTCGCATAATTCTCATTAATCTCACTCACTCACTCACTCACTCACTCACTCACTCACTCACTCACTCACTCACTCACTCACTCACTCACTCACTCACTCACTCACTCACTCACTCACTCACTCACTCCCTCCCTCCCTCCCTGCTTACCTGATGCTTCTCGGGTGGTAGCAGAAGAATGAGTGCTGGCCCTTCCGCCAGGGAAGGTGGCGTTTCGTTTGTTTCGGCCCTGAAACAAACCAAATTTGAATTACAATGATGAGCATGTCATAGGTATCTTGCGACACTGATACCATGGGTTGCACGACAGATAAACAAGAAATCGCCAATTGCCGACACAGCTAAGACATATGGGTTGATAAAATAGGTACATCATGCATGCGTGTTGATATCTGACAAAGACAAATGCTAAAAGTCTAATGAGCTTAGCACAAATAAAGAAATACAATATTCAAGCACGATGTTTCAAAGTGTCTTTCAAGCTGCACGCTACTCCAACAATGTCCAATGTAAAGGCAATACCTTCCATACGTCATGCGCTTTGCACAAGCCATGCATGAATGGATGGTGACTCAGCGAGAGGGCGTGTTCGACCTTTCGTTCTAGGTACGGATGCATAAGCACAATCACGAATGTATTGTTTCTTTGAAGTGCATGGAGTTGGGAAGTCTTGAGTACTCAAAGAGCAGGGGGGTACATGACGTTAAAAAGGGGTCAATGCTCTCCATGGCATGCACGCAAGGACAGCGTCCTAGAAGCAACTTAGCATCGGACACGCGAGCTCAGCATTAACACGCCAAAAGTGTGGAAACACCTCTAATCCGCCGGCAGTAAGTAGTTCTGAGTTCACATTATAAGAGCATCCACTCCATTGCTGGCAGGTAGCAGCATTCCAATATTGATGCCTAACCAGTCCTTCGTATCTTGGCATCTGGCAAATTCTAGCGTCTTGCTCTGATACATACCTGGGAGTTTTCCTGAACGAAAGCCACAGCAGGGGACCTAATCCACAAACTAACATTGACAGATCATTGGGCGCCCATTATCACAAAACCCCGGACACCCACGGCACAATGCACATCCCAAGACACTCATAGGACAATTACCGACTTCTCACACTGACCATGCTGGCCATGCAACCCTGCCGTAGATCCAATCTAAATTTTGAGGCACATCCCCAGCGCATACCCTAACACATCCAAGGGGGTCATACCTACATCCCAGGTCACCTACCTTGACCATGGCCGTAGTGTAGACATCCAGCGCATCCATCCACCAGCGAGACTCATCCCTGCAGGTTCCCTTGATGAAGGTGACGCGGTCGGGTGCCGTCAGGGCCACGCTGTAGCTGTTGCCGGTGACGTCCTCGGCATCGGCGACCTCCAGCACCTTGGACATGTCGATGACGCCGTGGGGCACCGTCTCCGGCTGAGGGGAGAGGGGGAGAGAGTAAGAGAGGGAGGGAGTTAGAGAGTTAGATGGGAAGGAGAGATGTCGTCTAGAACTGTACACAGAGTTATGACAGATAATATCAATGTTTCGTTGGCGTCATACATGGTTCATAAAGGTTAACTAAATGTTAAACTAAAAGTCAAGTTGAGATGCCGACTGCTTAACATAATGTTCGCCGCCTATTATGTCCAAGGAAGTTTTATTTATGATTGCAGAGAATGCGTCTGAGTCATAGAGCAGGCTAGAATTGGAGTAACTGAATCTTTCATGCAGGCTTGACCTTTTAAAGCCTGTTCCATATTTCGACCAGACCATATCACTGACCTATGACGTTATAACCTCTCCATGACTGGAAAGCTCTCACGTTAGGGATAACCTTTCTCACACTAACCCGAAATGGCATTCACCCTGCCGGCTCTAACTACCGGAAATATCTGATTATGACGGTGCATTGACCAGAGAGCACTGTAACCAGAAAGCTTTGAACAAGCAACGCTGGAGTATTTCATTCAAAGCTGATTCATATCAATTCCAGGGGCCGCGCATTGAGGCAGCACCTGTTCAGTGGAGTGACACTGGACTGGATTTGATATCAACGGTCACCTCACGACTTCAATTCACACCCCCTTTCAGTGACGTCACAAAACGTGATCTGGTTAAATAGGCGGCACGATATAATATCGAGAACGTGACCTGTCAGATAATATAAAGGGTTGTCACATGTCACGAATGACGCCCATGACATGCTGTCAGAATTATGTATGGCCTATGGGGAGCTGTCAGGTTACGAATGAGGAGCTGACACCAACAGGTCTGCTTCAGTCCGTGTCTTGACATCTATTTCCGTTTTGGTAGCAAAATTACACACCTTTTTTAAGTTTTTTTTTTTCACATGATAAAGGTACGCCGCCTTTTCAAAGGCAGAAATAAGAATGCATCGATATCGTACTGCGATTTCGGAACGATTTTTAGAAATAAAGTAAACACGCATGATCGAAAAGGTATTCATCAATGCCCGGGCAAAATCAGCCTTTGGGAAAACTTTGCAACTCTATTTTAGTTAAATCAACCAATCATGTATTGAACGCCGTGTTTCAGTCACTATAGACAGCATGAAGCTCGTCTTTTTCGAAGACTTTGGAGCTGAAATTGAACAGGCACTGATTTCTTTGAAATGGACACCGGGTAGCAACTCGTGAGCCACAATAATGCATGTATGGATATGGACACTGAAGATACTGAAGATATGACGTCAGTGACTATGGGACAGACAGTGGCGTGGCGACACTGTCAGACACTGGCGATGCGGCGCCGGGCGGGCGCCCTTGTGGGGCTTCGACGCTGACTGACAACGCGCAAGGCCAGCCGGCTTCCCCGGAAGGGATACACGTGACATGGCAAGGGAAACGTGACCTGCCTCACGTGACCTGTCATTCGGGGCACGCGAAAGGTCAGCGGAGGTCACGTGACCGGTCAGTGAAGCCATGTGACCTATCTGAGGGATGACATGCCCTGTGGGAGGGGTCGTGACTAGCGGCCGTCACCATGGCAAAAAAAGCAAAAAAAAAACACAAACTGGAAGCGTGAAATAGTTGAGCCCTAGAAATCAGCATGAAATATAAATGCAAGCACTAAATAATATGCTGTTGGACATTGGCAGAGTCAAGATTTCAGGAGTGAAGCCAAATGACCCGAGACCGGCTAGAACATCTAAAAATCTGTTGAAGCCACAAGAACACAAATCCCACCAGAGCTTCTTTCGCTGTCCGGTGCTTGTGTTGCTGCATTGTACTGCCGCAAAATGCATCCATTGCCGACTCACAGTCGCATGGATTGCGGGCCCCGCCCAGGCCCCAGCACCTACCCCCACAAGCGGACAGCAGAGGCCCACAGTGGACGGTGAGGGGATGGGGAGGAGGGAAGAGGGCGGGTGGGTGCGCAACAACATCGCCATATAAGGTATCGCCGCGGGCGGGGCGGTCGTCAGGCGGGCGGGCGAGGCGGAGGTGCGGGGAGGGGAGGGGGAGGGGCGGTACGCAACGCGGTGCGTGGCTGGCGAAACGATATACACAGCGGGGTTCGCTGTAACTTTATCGTGCTCGCAAATTGCAATTCAGTGGGAGGGGTGAGGGAGAAAGTACGCTGCATGTAGGTAATCTGAGAATATGTGCACGGGATTCGTCAACAACTTTGGGTGGGTGCGTTTTACCAGTCTGATACCTTCTTGAACACATGGTCAGTATTTCAATTTTTGGAATGAAGTTAAGAGACCGACAGGCGATAATAAGATCGAAAAACCAGTTGTCAATGACTCATTACTGAGTCCCAAAGACCTTAAAAACATCCCAATTCCCAGAAAGTCCAGCAGCCACCAGCTAAAATAATGTAGTAACCCTTCGCGACACCTAATGAGGTAGCTTATAGCCACCATTCTCTGATAAAAGAGTAACCCTCCCCAGCGTTGGCTGACCAGTGCGAGTTGGTTAGGAGGTCAGGGTCATCACGGCCGGAAAAACGAGGTCGAATTCCCTGGAGTTGTTAAGACTAAATTATGGCAATTTGGGAAGGCGAATTTGGAATGTGAAATTATGACAGATTGTTGCGAGATCAAATCAAGTGGTAGGATAAAGAACCTTCATAAGCAGCTTGGAGGTCATAAGGCAAAAATTAGGGAGGTCAACCGTTGCTTGGTGTATATGCATGATTAGACAACAGACATCATGAGTGGATTTGTGGGGGTCAAGTTATGACCATGTGTCAAGAGAACAGGTCACATGATAAGTAGAGCTCGAGAGCAGATTTCACGTCTGATAAGGTACACAAAGCAGCATAGGAACTTTGATGACTCCAAGGAAATATAAGAAACGAGATATGTTGTCAGTCATATTGTATCTTTGTAAAGTTATGTAAAGGTCATGTGGGGTAGAGAGAGGACAGCTTGATTCAGCTGAGGTCAAATGAGTTCAGGTGAGATCAACTTGTATCACATGGGGTGTGATAAGGTCACGCGAAATGATATCAGGTCAGATAGTCAGATGAGGTCAGGTCAGGTCACGTCAGCTAAACCCAGGCCATGTGAGGTGAACCATGAGGTTAGGTCAGCTGAAGTCCGGTCATGTGAATAAATGTGAGGTCAAATTAGGCTCGGTCAGGTCATCATAGCTCAGGTTTGGCCTCTTCCAGAAGGATCATAGATCGTAATTCGTAACTTACGTGGTCATCGACGGAGTAGGTGAGCTCTCCGTCATCGTAAAGCACGAACCACCGACGCTGCCAGCGCTGGAACGAAACAAACACAAACCGGTCAGACAGAAGAAAAAGATTCGAGCGGCTGGGGAGTGGGTAATAGGACATAATGAGTTGACGACAAAAGACATACCGAGCCATAATCACTTCGGCTCACATGAGACTGGAGCAGTTCAAAACATAAGACGGGGGGGGGGGGAGGGGCACAACACAATGAAAAAATGGCAATATGTCTCCCCGTAGCCCTCGCAGCCGGGATACCACCGAAGCAGTGTGTCTAAAAAGAAGTCGAAATCAATCAATGTCACGTCACAGCTAAAACATAGCAGTTCCAACTGATAGCCTATTGCGTAACAGTTCGCCAAGGAAAACATCACTGAGAATCGAGTGCAGCGGTTCGAACAATTTCAATCGTTATTCAATATAACATTAATCTAGCACAGGCCTTACAAGCTGATAGTAGCAGCGATAGGCTTTCCAGGTGTCTAAATTTGACAAGTTCTCATCACTTTCCCCTTTCAACAGAGACCTCACGTCGATTGAGGTATTACTTGAGAAGGCAGCCGGTTAATTGCAACAACATGCTCCGTTTGCACAGTGCGGCAAGCCGCAAATTAGTCAAACACGCCCAAAGCTGCAGTCTGTAACGCATTCTGTAGACGTGAAACTTTCATTTTTTCTACTACAACTTACAAACTTAAATGAGAAATTTTATTTTAGAACATTTGTCCATGTCGAAATATTCCGTCAGAACATTCGTCCTTATCTTTCTAATATGATCACGCTTTCGTATACGCCGAAGTATATGGGAATCGAAGCTTTGATTTTCTAAATCTTTCTCAAATTTCTTCGAATGATAAAATATGAAGACGAACCTACCAGACCATCAAACCATGATCTTGATCACTTGACAAGTGTGATGTGATTGCTGTTATCATAGCTATCTATCCATTATCCTGTTCTGATCAACTCATATCCTGATTGCCATGGCGACTGTGGGAAACGGGACACTGGGGCCTCGTTTCACTTGTGTCTCGTTCAGATCTGAAAATAAGGACCATCTAATGTATCCGGCACACCTCTTTTTCAGCGCATATGGCTAAAAACTAATTGATATAAGATTATTATGATCAAAATGTGACTGATATTTACTAATATTACGATACATGTTGTTGTCGCCAGTTGCAAAATCTGACCGGTTGCTGTTGTTCGACCAGATTCTATTATCCGCGACCAAAATTGCATGATGAAAAGTCTAAAAAACTTATGGTACGGTACCTACTCATGAAACATTTACCGGTTTCAGTGTGCACTTCCTTCTACCACGAGCCTCTCTCCCCTCCCTAACTCTCCCCTCTCCCTCTTCCCATCCTCTCTCACAATTCGCGCCGGTGACAGAGCAGAACGGGGCGTGAAATAGAATAACGGAGAAAGCAAGACGACGTCGCTATCCTCCAAAGGACTCCTACCGTACTATGGAGCACAGAAGAATGGAGCAATACAGGAAGTGGACACAGCAGCCGCTGAACTGAATCGACGGTAAGGCGTGACGAAGAAAATGAAGCATACGGGATAGTAGCAAGACGTGTTTTGTAAGACACGACATGACATTACATGATACGCTTTGGCAGGGCACGATTCGGCAAGGAACGCTGAGTATTGAACAACATGGGATGACACGGAACTGCTTGGAGACAGAAGCGGCATTGCAAACTGTGGCATTGCAAAACTCGAAGCCTGCAAGGGCAATAATGAATAATCATCTCTTCTGAACTCAGCGCGTTCTAATGAAAGAATAGCATGGACACAAGCGCAGATCGCCACAAGAGAAGTAACAGTTCGCACACTGCTCAATGCGCTCACGCATAGCAAAGCGACGACTATGAATATGCGAAATCAATATCGTTCCGTTACAGACTCCATGTGCACCAGCCTCCATGAGCTCCATGAATAACATTACGAACTAGCGTATTATGTGAGCTAAATGCTCCAACGAATGCTGCATCACCCCGAGGCACAACCTCTCTTCACCACACCTGGTCCCTCCGTGCAGTGGGACCCCTCCCTCCATACCAGAATAGAAAGGGCGTTCTGACACGCACGTGCAGCGCGCACTGAGACCGTCGGCCCTGTGTGCTCCCAGCACGCGTCTAAATCTGGCGCACCAACACGTGCGCAGGGGCGGTCACGGAGCAAAGCCGAAGCCTGGCGTCGGATGTCGACCCGCTGCCGCCGCACGAGCATAATGGAAGGAGAGGAGAAAGGGATACGCTCGCGCTTAGCGCTGAACGTGGAGCTTAACAATATCTGGAAACATTTTTATTTTAGTTCATGGATTATATGACAGCTTATAGGGCAGGATTATAGGGCAGCTTGGAAATGTGCTGAAACAACAGCACAAAAATGTGAACTGTTTGAAGAAAAATAAAACTTCTTAGCCCTAACAAGTCATGTGAGAAGAGTGTAGATATGTCGCAATGTCACTGCAGAAACAATCATGCAAAAGTAAACACCTCACTGAAGCAACAGCTGCCTAATGCCTATCGACCAGCTTTCAATGTCACCGCCGGGCGTAGGTACCTATATCAGACCCGAGATTACACCGGAGCTATCTTTTGACTTTGTAGGATACCGCCGTGTAATGTCACCACCAACGGTCGAATCCATCAGCCCTTTTTAGTTGCCGCGTGCATTACTTACACATTTGCGATTGCAGCACCAAAGCGCGGTCTCCTTGGATAAGATAGCACACAAAATGTTTGCTCTAAGCAAATAAAGAAAGTGACAATTTTGAAAAGTTTATTGAGGGTAAGTGCGAGGTATAAGCAGAAGAAAACGTGTCCTTATACATATAATATGGGCCTTCAATTCCTTTAGGGTGGAGCCGGAGCTATTCCACCGGAACTTTGCAGCCCTCCAGACTTGCACATGTCGAACCATTGGGGCCTCTGATCTATGCACACCTTCAGTCCCGCCCGGCCCCTGAACAGCGAATTCGTCAGTTCATCTTGCCTTTAGTGGCGCAAATCTCTCGTATACATCAATGCAATACTTTTTTTTATTTTTTATAAATTTAGCTCGAATGTTTGAATGGACGGATTGACAGAGCCGGAGCCCACGCTAAGCAGAGCTTGTTGCGTAGACCCCGACCCCTACCGTCCGATCGCGCAATTCCGGGTAACGGGAGGATTTAAATGCCAAAGTTTAACGTGCCCTTCAAAGCCGGACACGGCCTGTCCCACTCAACTGACTTCAACTGGCTGCGGCTGCTCCCACCAACCGCAGACCATCCCCGTCAGGAGTCTCAAATATCGAGCGCCGGAGCGTCTCGAACCCGGGCTCTCACTACCGGGAGTCCAATGCTCTACCAACTGAGCTACGGGACAGGCAAAATACTCGCGTCCGAATTTGATAGTGGCAAGCAGGAAACATCCATTATTCAAACCAATCCTTGCATCAATCCTCGTCGCCTCTCCTCGCTACCTTATGTCATCGCGGACAGGGATGGGCGGAGCCTCCCAAATAAGGTCAACAGGTGAACGGATGCGGTCACTGGCTGATGCCCAAATAAGGTGTGATCCAGTCGGACCGGTTCGCTCACGCCCGAGGTCAAGGTCAATTGACGGAGCTCCGTTTCGGCGACTGCCCCGGTAGCGGAAGGTGAAGTAGGCCATAGCTAGAGATTATGGAGTTCCTGGGAAGCCTTCCCAGCACCTGGCTGTCGATGGCATCAGTGAAGGGAATGATATATTTTATGTTCTCATCGCCCTTCACCAGTTATAAAAAAAACACAAGCTCACGAGAAAAACATGTAAAAAGACTATATCTGAAGGGTGGCCACTGGCCAGGCCAATGCATCAATGAGAGCGAAACAAATACATTTTGAACAAATGCAATTGTACAATTTGCTGTAATAGAGCTACCAAGTACCGACCATTTAACAGCTAAGCCCTTAATGACCTACACAGTGGCACTCCCATCATTATTAAATCTCTCAAGAGTAAGTAAACGACCACTCGATTCACACAAGCAACCATGCAGGTGCGGACAACAGTTACAGATGATAAAGGCAGATTACACCACTTCATGAGCAAGCAAATCAGCCGTTAGGGATCAATGGCTTAAACTTGTTTATCCTTGTAGTGTTCATCCTTGTGTAGTTTATCATTGTGTAGTGTTCAACTTGTCGGTAACCCTTTGATCATTGAGGCGTTGGATGACAGTAGCAATATGAGACCACGCCCTAGCGCCAGCACCCGCACGAGCTGACCCTACCGTCACCAGGGCCTCGTTTCATAAAAGGAATTACTTACGGCGTTCCGTCAATTATGCCAGATTTGGCGTATTTAATGCCAATTCGGTTTCATAAAGCCGGAGACCGGAGTAATTCACGCCATCGAAAGTACGGAGCTTCATTTACGGCAAATGCTCGATTCCGGACCAATTGATGCCATTTGGGTTTCATAAAACGACGTAATTAACGCCAAATATTTTATCAAGCTCTTGATATCAGTGGTGTAAACTACGCACAAAAATGTTGCGTGATTTTGAATTCATGTGAAGATTCGACACTAATTTTTAATATATTTTATAATGTTGAGCCCGGTGAGGAAGAAAGAACAGACAAAATGAGAAAAAGAAACTGCAAATCTTCTGTACCGTACCAGTCGCTTTTTGTGGCCACTATCGGAATTTTGTTTATTCGCCGCGCCGCGCCACTTTCGTAGTTAGGCACTTCTGCTTAGCCATGGCTTTCTGCTGTTTTTAATATATTGTTTTAATAAAGGATTGTCATCAATATCAATTTTGTTTTTCCATACACAATTTTTAAGATTTAAATTCAACATAATTGTTTTATAAATTCTCGTAAAAAAATAAGTGTTGACATGAAATTGTAATTTGTAGGACGCTTGATAAATTACGGTAACTACGCAAATGTGCTTAGTTACGGAGGTGTAAACAATTCCAGTTGTGGCTTTGTGAAACGGATTTATTTGCGCTCCGTAGTTTAAAAGGGTGTGAATTACGGAAAG